TGGGGGGGGGGGCTCTTGCTCCTGCGCCTGCCTGCCCCGGCATCTCTCCGGGCATTCGCGGGTCTCCCCGCACACCCCCGGGGTCGGGGGGCCTTGCGGAGCCGCCCTCTCCGCTCCAGCCCCGTGGGGGGCAGCAGGTCTCGAGGCGAGCCTGGAAAAGAAGGAAAACAACCGCTCCCCTTCCCTCCCCGACGTCGATTCTGAAGGCTACCAAACCTCCCCCTTCCACCCAGCCAGTTCCTCATGGGAGCACGGAGCCCGTCCTTGCCGTGGCTGCTTCTCCTCCCGCACAGGAGAGATTTCAAGCCCTAATCCTAGGAAGGAGGCAGGCGAGACCATGCCAGGCCGGGATTTGGCCCTGCCGAGAGCACTGGTCGCCCAGGCCCCCCTCTGCCTCTCGCAGCCAGGCCCTGGGGGCTCCCAGGCTGCGTTCGGCAGTGGGCAACTCCCTCCGCTTTCTACATGCATTCACATGGTTACTAGGACTGTTCCCCCCACTGAAATCGCAGGGAATCGTATTGATGTTTTTCAACACTGCCCTGGTGAGAAAGTAGAAGAAAACCAGCCCAGGCATCTCTGAAATTACGGGTCTGTTCCAGTTTCCAGATCACATCAGCTTTAAGGAAACGTAGACGATAACTCAGGCTTTCCATGGCGAGAGGCTGCTGTGAGCTCTTCCCTGCCTTGCTCGCTCATGCCCCAGTTCAGTGTTTCATCAGTTCTGGGTGTAATTCAGACACAGCCAACCGTATCACTGCTGTATGCATTTTTATTTACTTTACCGTTTTAAGAATACATGAGAAAGCAACTTTAAAACCAATTTCAAAATTTAAACAATTTATTGCAAATTTTACATTGCAGCAAATTTTAATCCAGTACACAGCCTTATAACTAGTTACAGCTCAGGAAGCAATGGTTACCTGTCTCTGGGGAAAGGGCCAAGTGTGGGGGATACAGACAAAAACCCGACCCCCGTGGCTCACTGCTGCCACCAATTGTAGTATTTAAGAGAGCTAAGCAAGGGAGCAGGATCAGGGCTTTATACTGGCATCATGAAATTTGCCTTCTCTTGCTTTGCAGCTGGGAACATGCAATTATGAATCCTGAAAGGAAGCGCAGCAATTATCTGTGTGGTTTCTGCGAAATAAGGTCTTTTGAACAAAGAATTGGGGGAAATTTTGAACACGGTGGCTATTGCTTTTATTTCCACTTAATTTCTAGTGAAACTGATTAAGAATGGGCATTACACTTAGGCAGCAATCAATCAGAGAACGTATTTCTATTCCTTTCTTGGTACCCCAGAGATTAAGATTCCTAAAAATGTAAAGCAAAGGAGAACAAAGCAAACACAATTTAAAAGTTCATCACTTAGTCACAAAGCTCAGAGGCAGAGGAGAGGGCTGGATACACTTCCCATAAATGGACATCTCCAACATAAAGATTATACACATAATATTGACCTTTAAAACTGGCTACTAGCTTTACAGTAAAGTCAATAATAAAATAAACTGCCATAGTATGCTATCCAATTAATCATTTAGATTTGTTTCATTAGAGGGACACTTGCCATATACAGTTGATCCCAAAATTTAGGCATTGTAAACCTAAAATGAGCAGAAATTCCCCTATGGTGCTCTTGTAATTTTTTTTCCTGTAAAACAATTTATTAGAAACAATAAGTAAGGTTTTCTGAAGGTGCATATGGGAATTTGAAAGCTTAACTAGGGAACTATAAACTACATGATCTATTTTAATTGGATGAGACTGATGAAATGCAAAAAAGAAAGAAATATGCATTGAGGAAAGTAAACTCGATTTAAGCTGCTTAATGTCTAATAATTTTAAGATGTAGCAGTGGTATCCGAAAGAAAGCTGATTTTTATATTAGGTTTTTTAAAGTATATGATATGCGACTGACACTGTCCCTTTGCAACGGTGTTGGGCTGTAAACCACAGTAATTCATATTCACATGAGCACACACTTTGTAAATGTGAAACATTGGAAATTTAAAAAAAAAAAGAGGAAGCACATGGTATAAAATGATAAAAAAGATTATGCTAATAAAAGCCAAACGGCAGCAGGAACAGCAGCAGCAGCTAGAACTGCTGGATAAGGCGCCGGCGCTGTGAGGTCTTCCGCAGCAGTCGTCTGTAGTCATAGGGATTATCTTCAGTTTTACTCTCTTCCAGGGGGCTTTCTGCAACCCTCGACCTAGGGATTAAGCACAGAAATGTTTTAGAAATTAAAGTCAAAACATTTACCTTGGCAAACGCTCCTAATTGACTGCTTAACCTCCACCCTTGGGGAAAAAAATGAAAAAGAAAAAAAAATCAACTGGCTTTGCTAGGCCTCTTCCTGTGCTGCATAAAGCAGGCACCTTGGAACAAACACATTATATATTAAGAGCAGATGAACACAGAAGAACAACATGGAGTTCTAGGAAGGGGACATAATAAAAGGACATAAAAACGTTGAGAACGTGGGGGTGCTTTGCAGTAGCATTTGCCCGATGGTTACTGAACCAGATTTTCAATTGGCGTAAATTTGTTTGCTCTGTTTTTAACCTGCCTGTGGAGCTCACTGTAAGTGTCCATCTCATTTTATTTTTTTCTCAGATGGCAAGCTGCATTTTGGAAGCCACCTCAGGATGGCCAGAAAAGGAGGCAGTCAAGCTGGTGGCTTCTCTGCAGAAAGCAGGCAGAAAGTTCGGTGCACATCCACTCTATTTAGAACCTAACTGATCAGAAATACAATTTTTAGGTTCTGCTTGTGCTGGTTTTGGCTGGGGCAGAGTTAATTTCTTTCACAGTAGTTCGTATGGGGCTGTGTTTTGGATTTGTGCTGGAAACAGTGTTGACAATACAGGGATGTTTTAGCTACTGCTGAGCAGTGCTTACACAGAGTCAAGGCCTCTTCTGCTTCTCACACCACCCCACCAGCGAGTAGGCTGGGGGTGCCCAAGAAGTTGGGAGGGGACACAGCTGGGACAGCTGACCCCAACTGACCAAAGGGATATTCCACACCATATGACGTCACGCTCAGCATATAAAGCTGGGGGAAGAAGGGGAAGGGGGGGACATTCGGAGTGATGGCGTTTGCCTTCCCAAGTCACCGTTACGCGTGATGGAGCCCTGCTTTCCTGGAGATGGCTGAACACCTGCCTGCCCATGGGAAGGAGTGAATGAATTCCTTGTTTTGCTTTGCTTGCGTGCGCGGCTTTTGCTTTATCTAGTAAACTGTCTTTATCTCAGCCCACGAGTTTTCTCACTTTCACGCTTCTGATTCTCCCCCGCATCCCACTGGGAGGGAGTGAGCGAGCGGCTGGGTGGTGCTTAGTTGCCACCTGGGGTTAAACCACGACACTGCTTTAGTTTAATTTGATTTTAGATCAGAGATTTACAGCAGGATGTCTGTCCATCTCATCTGGCACTTGGGAAGCCAAAAACTAGCGGGTGAGCTGAACACCAAGCATTTGTCCCTGGTGCATAAAGATGGGAAATTTTCAGCTATTCATTTTACAAGTTAATTTGGCAAGATTCCATGAATAAAAAAATAGATTTATGTCAAATTTTAAAGTGTATCTTTCTTTTTATGAATCTTTTGAATGTCAACAAGGATATACAACAATTATTTTTTCCAGTTATTATTTTGTATGAATTACCGCTCAGTAGCTCTTAAAATTGAAGTCCTGCGCTCAGCTGGGTGTCTCTTCTTTCTTGTGGTAGAACTGCTGTCCTTTGAGGTGGAATCAGTAGATGAAATTTCTTGGTAGTAGATATCTAAGTCTAGGACTTTGCTTAGACTGTCAAAAAATAAGTACACTAAGTTAACAGTTCCACTATTCAATATTATATTCAACATTTAAAAATAAGGCAACCAAATATCATTATTAGTTGTGGTTATGTGTTGAGGATCTAAGGAAAAATATATATAAACACAAGAAATCAGCCTCTGAAATGTGACTGCTGTACGATGCAGATATTGAGAATTTTGGAATGCTACTTTTAGATGTTCATGAAGCAGACATATATGACTGAAATTGTTCGGGTTTGCCATTATACTCAATGGAGAGGCATTTTTATGGTATAATTCATCTGACCTATTTTAGATATCTCTTTGAGGAAGAGATGAATCATTTTGCTAAAGATGACTATTTTTTTCTCTGAGTACAAGAAGAGAGTCTAAAGCAATTAGTTCAGGTATCGGTGTCAATAATGCAGATGTCTCTTATTTTGTTAGATGAATGCTATCCAGGGTATCATATGTACAGAAAAAAACAATCCCAACATCCAGTTTAGAATGGCTAGGAAAAAAATAATATCCTAAAAGCAACCTGAAAACAGAAGTTCAGAATTCAATTCTCACATTGGTAGAAACCAGAAATAACTCACTGATTTCAGTTGCTATGTTCTACCAATAGAGAGTCAGCACATGAAAGAAGATGCAGTCATGGAACTGGTTAACTAGATTTAAGATGAGTGAAACCTAACTGAGGCCAAATGAGAGAAAACACTGGATTTGGATTGTCTCCTGGCTGAACGGGAGACAACGATAGGTGTGAATTTTTTTCAGGATCCAAATTACATCAGAAGAAGAACTGTAACAGACCAGACACGGGGGACATGGACGTGAAGCGAATCCTTTAAGCAGTGGCATAATCAAATGCAATTTAAACTGTGGCTGAATGGAGCTAGATGCTGTGAGCACATATTATGTGCATATAATGTCATGTAACTTCCTTTAAGATACGTATTTTAGATACGGAGTTTGTATTCTGCAGCCTCAGCCGAGGATAGTGCTAAGAGCCCATTCATCTTGCATCTATGACCAGGCTACCATAGCACGCATGCTATAGTACTATAGCAATGTCACTGGGGAGCAGCAAAAAAGCTTAAATATAGAAACACAAATAAAATAAAGCTATGAGGTATGTCAGGAGCTGTGAACCAGGTCTACAGCACACGTAAGGATCTAAGATATGGAAGGGCAGAATTATCTATTGCTTGCTTTATTTCTGCAGAGATCCATCAAAATAGGTTAGTTACACTGTGAAGAAAAGACTTCTGGTTAAAATTTCAAGGGCTACTATTCTTTCTCTGTTATTAATAATTGTTGTTTTAATTTTTTATGATCTATTTCCAAACAGTCATATATTTTTAGGAGAGAATTTTAACAGTCTTTGTATTTTTGCTAAGAAAAAAGAACTGGTTGCTCATTTGCTTTGACTGGAATTTTAAGCACCTTAAATTATTTTCTGTGTCAGAACTATCTTTGATGTGGACCTTATCTTAACTTATTATTATGCTTGTGTTGCCATGGTAAAGGGCCATGCTGTAGTAAAACTGAACGACTGAATTCTATAATGGATTTTTGTCGTTGAAAATTGCATATTTTAACTTTGTGTACGATGTCCTTCCTGTGAATCACCAAATTACCGTGCTTTTTTTAATGCTTTATTCTCCTGGTTGAAGTACAGCTAAGAACTATTTCTAGAGTACTGAGATGACAATAGTGAGATAATGAAAAAAATTACCTTTCTTTTCGTGGTTTCCGTTTTTCGTCTTGTATTGATTTCTACGAAAATACAAAGTAATTTAAAAAATACTAAGAGGAAAGCTTATGCAAAGATACAGTTCATCAATATGTTAGGTAGGAGAGTGTTGTATATTCTTCGTTAAAAGAAATTTTAGAGAATCTAATTTGCTGAGCGAGCACCCCAGAAAAATCTCTTTTCGGAATCTCCATGAGACGGAGAATGGGATTAGCATGACTACTCCCAAATTTCAGTTGTCATATGTGAAAAAAACTAAAGCAATCATGATCAGAACAAAAAAGGAGATCTCAAACTTTCAAATATCTATAGTTGCTTTAATGAAGTTGACAACAGTATCTCACTGAGGCACATTTACTGTGATGCCATGAGAATTTCCATGAATACAGGCATTACAGTGGGAGCAGGCATAAGCCTCTTCTCATTAATGTCAATGCAGTCTTGTCACAGGTTTTAGTAGAATAAAATGGACATTTAAAAAGCAGTATACTAGGTGGCGAAAGCACCTTCAGGATACAAAACATCCAGAAGTGCAGAGGAGAGAGATTTATAGGGAATGTGAATAATTTCCTTCCCTACAGCCAAAACAATGCTATGTTGCAGCATCTAAAGCATCACACTTCAAAAGCAGTATTTTTAAGTGCAAAATCTTAATTTTGCATTTATTTATTTATCTTAATTTTGGTCTTAATTGTGTTTCTTGCAAACGAGTGAAAACTTATTAGAATTAGTGAATTGTACCACTGCAAAGTCACTGAGAACCAGAAATCCTGATGGACAGACACTTCTTATGCAGGTAAATGCACAAGACATATAATTTCAGAATGACAGAGCGATCTAAAGAAATACACCCCAAAGTAAACTTTTAGTGCCTTGTATGAACAATGGGTTATTGTCAGACTTCATTTATACCTGTGCACCACTTTAGCTCATTTAATATGCAAGGAGATGAGTGAGAATAGAAGGTGTCTAATATCTGTAACGTGATGTGAGAGAAATATCTGTTTTTGCAGAAGACAGAGGAAATTTTTCAAAAAACACACTCATATTGCGTGCCTTCACTTTCAGGTGATCTGGGCTTGATAATCATCTGTGAATACCTGCAGGTCACAGAGATTTTTAATAAGGTTGAAAATTAATGACAGCTGGAAAAGCTGACTACCCTCAAGTTAGAGCTCAATGATTGCCCAAGGTCTAAGAATTTAAGAACTAGTAGGTCCCCTTTCTAAGCTTCCGTGTAGTAGATATTTACATGAACCTTTCCCTTACCAGTGTTAGGAAGACAGGCTTCTCTTTTTCACGCCTTCTTGAAGAATACAAATAATCGAAGGTACAATTGCTTAGTACCTTGAAAAACTGCTGCTAAAAATTAGTTTAAGAATTCCCCGGCATTACTGCAGTTTTTGTTCACGCTGATGTGATGGCTGTTTTCTGATACGGAGCTGGCCATGTAACAAATTAGCTTTCAGAAAATACTGTGTTCCTGACTGTATAGTCTTGGCTTTCTAAATATGCATTACTTCAGAATTACACTTCACCTCAGAAATTTCCTAATACAGAATTCAGTTTCATGCCTTTCATTTCAGTCCTTTATCTCACCAATCTTGCTTTCACAAAACAAATCTTATTCTTACATGCCAATTAATTTTTAAGAATATAATTTCTTTTCAGAATATCACTGTTCTAAAGCTGTGTTATTTCAAAGCCCCCATAATAAAACAGCCGTATTTGCCTTTTTTGATAGGCCAGGCAGAACTCTCCCTAAAGGCCCTGGTGACACCTTCTGTTGAAAGGAGAAGCGATTGCTACGGTTAGTTTATTAGCTGGGCTCTCACCGGCTGCTAAAATAGGTCACTAAGATACAGGCACCTCGAGCAAATGCGTTTAATTGCTTTTTTGTTGGAACTGCTTTCTGAGCTGCTTTTACATTTTCTCTCTTTCTGCTTACTTTCTTGCCTTTTTTTCTATATTTAAGGGCACTGAAGTCAAGAGTGGAAAGCAGCCCTTGGTATCTGAACTTGGACCAAAGGCTATATATAGGGACACTCAAATCCATTAGTCTCCTGAGCTGTTGGTATTTGCCAATTCCTTCATAATCACAATCTGACACATTTGTAAAGGAAGTTACAGTGTGCATACTAATACAGCCTATTTTAATATTTGCTCTCTCTGCAAGATCAAGCACTAATTTAGACACTCAAAATAGCTCTCCGAATGAACCTGTTTCTCTCTTGTGACTTACAAAGAAACTACGGAGACTGGGCACTTAATTTGGGTATCGAAAGTGCAAATGCTGCTTATGTGTATAATGAATGTATGTATGTTTAGGTACAAAACTAAAAATTGGCCTGACCTAGGGCCCCAATCCAGGGTAACTCTGAACCTTAATAATTTCAAATCTAGTTTGAAATGTGAGGTTTGTGGCCTGCCTCCTTTCAGCAGGGCACACCTTTTATGTTGTATTAGAAAGGAATACAGGGAATCGGGCAATTAGAAAGAAAGTTTAGATGGGAATTATCTGGCAGTCTTAGCCCACAAAAGTTTGCTAAACGCACATGTATTAGAGTGTAGTAGGTGGAGTCTTCTGGATTATTTAATGTCTTAGGCTTCCGTGGCCTCCTTGGGGGTCTCTGCATTGGGCGAGAGTCTTCTACTTTGGCCGCAACTGTAAAAAAGCAGAAGATATCAGTGCTTATTTCACCAAAGAGAGCAAAAAAATCCATGTAGCCACTTTTACTGCTTGCAGTAACTCAAGAAAGCAACTGTTGGGGGCACTTCCATGACCAGATTGAAAAGGGGAATGGGTTTATCCGTTTGAGTCCTGACTACCACATGGACACATGCTATGTAACGAATGTCAGGCTGGAACAGCCGAGCAGTCTGCCTGGCACAGGCTTCTCCTTCTGAAAAGGGCTGATGCTCCACATTCAGAAAAGGACTCTGAAGGATAATGGCTACTGGAAGGCTACCAACTCGTAACAGACCTGGGCAGCGGGGATGATGTTTTTTAAGACTCAAGCCAATCAGTAAGGTGCTGAATGAGGGAACTACCATTAGACCTCTGATTCAGAGGTTAGTCCTCTACATTATCATGGCGTAGATTTTCCCCAAGGTCTCCTGCCAAGGCTGTTCTGTTTCAAGACAAATCATGTACCACTGGGCAACACAGCATGACCATGTCTGTCACATCCAGTGTAATCTAGTTGAGTGTACTCAACTTCTGGTCTATTTCTACAAAAGCTTTCTGCAAACATGCAAAAAATGTTTTCATTCTAATGGAAACGAAATCAAGATTTTAACACATCTGGAACTGCTGTCCTCTGGCAGTCTCCAAACTCAAAGTTAAACACCGACTTGTGGGTTACATTGGCTGGCACATGGGGAACTAGACAAATGTCTTGGATATTTGCTTGTTAAAAATCTATATGCAATTCTGACAGTACTAAGATACAGGGCTGCTAAGGGTTCATAGGCTCATAGGTTCTGAGACCACAGAACTGACTCAGCGGGGCTGAGGAACCACAAATGTACAGTGTGGTGAGCATGACCACCTTACATTCAGCTTCAGCTATAGGAAAAGTTAATAGGGGGCTACGGCAATTCCTTCATGTTGAAGGAGGCGGGGCTTGCAGGGCAGCAGAACACCTACGATAGAGATGGGTCATAGGGACACATACAGGGTGATGAATGAAGCACAGCACATGGTTAATGGTGTGTCCAAGTATATTGCATTATCCAGTGAGATTTTAGATTGTCCTTGTTCCATCACAGAAGTATTCAGAGGACAGTCCATGAGAAAAAACATCTCCTTACTCATAAATGAATATAGTGTGAGGGTGGAATGAGGATCTAGCTCCCAATGAATTACCGAAGTGTGTTCTGCTGACCTAAGCCTCTTTCACATGAAGTGACTTTAACTCCATAACCCCAATGTGCTAACTACATGTGATTGAGTCTTAGAAGGAAGAATGTATTTTGTTCTCTAATGACCATCAGAAGCCCTTTTACACGATAAAAATAAAAACTCTCCCATGTACATCAGACATCTTTTTAATTAAGGAGGTGGCACAATCATTTAAAATGAGAAAGGATCAGTAATACATCAGTGTTGACTCCTGCAAAATTAGCTGTGTAAGTTTTTTGTTATGTGTGATAAATAAATGTTTGTAAAGGTCATGGATATACAGAGGAGGCAGAATGAATAATGTTAATTTAAATTGTAGTTGGATAATGATTACATTTATTGTTTTAGTTTTTTTATCTGAAATGCAGACTGCTTCTCATGCAACGAATGAACAAATATCTTTTAACATTTTGCACTTAAGAGAACAATGGTATTTTTCTAAGCCAGGGTACAGATAATTCATGTTAAACAATGAAATTTAGATGCAATACATTCATTTTAGTAACCTGTATTAAATATAAATTACATTCTTTGATTTGAATAGGTATAGCAGGCCTGACTGTGCTCTTATGTGGGCTGTTGTTACCCTGCTGCATTTCAAATGGGCCACCTGGGGTTATCTGAGTTTCCATTTGTGACAGAGTAGAGGCATATCTTTGCTGTTTTATTTTTAAACACAACAGGAGCCTAAACTGGAAAAAAATACTTTAACACCCCCCCGTAAAATTCAGTGTAGTTGAATAGAAACACCTAACCCCTTGTCTGTCAGACATTTTCAAAAATTGTGTCAAAGATCATGACTACATGAAAATCTGGAGAAAGAAAACAAAGCCAGATTGAGGGCTTTAGGAAAATTCTAAGGAAAAGGCTCTCATAATACCTACAGATTTTTTATTGTCCCCTAAGAATTCATCACTATGTATGCTGTTATGTTATTTAATTCATCAAACACATAAAGCATTATCGTATTTGAGATTACAATTATTCCAAATGAAATTACTTGTATACTTCTTGCGTATGTGTTCTGCAAAGACGACTCCTCTTACATTCAAAAAAATCATTTTGGCAATGATAAGGGTTTCAGTAAAAAATAGCTTTTAACCTCAGCTCGTGCATTGTACGTATGTATGAGCTATGCAAAAGAATTGAGGGGACAGAAATACCATGGTGGGGCAGGCAGCCTTCTAAGCTTGGACCTCCATCGTTCCTTTTTAAAATTACATAGAGGGCTGAAAATGCAATTCTGACTTTTGTTTCCAAATTACAGTAAGTAAAAAAACAGTTTGATGGGTTTAGCTTTCTTTTGTTTCACCAGAAAGTGAACCTGTGATTTCCTTCTGCACTTATATTTGTGTGTTCATTGCTACTGAAATACAGCTGATGTGGTAGTGACTTGTATTGGATAACTCACTGCACAAAGTAAAATTTCCTTTTTTATTAGTTGCTGATAATTCCAGAAATCATTTAGTTAGTAGAGTTAAAGGTGGAAGGCAAATTAAATACCCAAGCCTGATAAACGGTGAGTTTGATGCGCTTGTTTTCTAGATGGCCTATACCTTTCTGCAGTAGGCAATGAAGCATAAAGAAGGAGTATAATCATTCACTTATTAATAGGCCAATTATGTTGCTTCTAGAGTCCATTACAAAGAAAAGGTTTTTATTGAAGCCGAGTCTCTCTGTACTAAAATATCTTATAGTCTATTTTTCCTTAAGACTTCAAGTATCTCTAGCAAGATCTGGCCGTGTGCTTTATATGTAAAAGGAAAACCGATGGTTTCTATCTAACAAATATTTAAATACATACGTTACAACATTGGTATGAAAAGCATTCACAACAGTAGCCGTCAAAGCACTTTGGAAATGTCAGGTTGGCACTATCATCCCTATCCTACTAGCAGGGTAAATGAGCTGCACAAAGCAAGACACACCGAGACTTGCTTAAGGTTACATCCCAGTTAGTCATTGGCACAGCTAAGGAGCTGGACTGAAAGACTGTGCTGAGGCTCCCGGCTCTGCAGCCAGCCCATGCCCTGCGGTTACATCTGCCTGAACAGGTGCTGTCAGTGCTGTGACACATTCACATGCCTTAGAAGCAATGCGTAGGAGAAATCGGAAACAAAAACATTTGATGCTATGCAGACATTCCTTTTTAAAGGTTTTACCAACAGGTAGGCGAGTTGAACAAGTTGAAAGGGAGAAGAATTTTCCTCAAATTGCTTAAGTGCATGCAGTCAGTACTCAATTAGTCAAAGGAAAGAGGTATTGCTCTCGTGACATGGATGCTTTGCTTTTGAACCTCAACAGAGAATGTCAGCCATGCTGTAACCCATGCCCAGGAAGTTATATCTCTCTGCTGCCCAAACCTGAAGCAGACTGTCAAAACGTACATTTGATCAAGCGATGATGGAAAGTTTAATAAAAGTTAAGGTCATTCTCCTTGAGAATGAATGACTACGGAGTTAAGGGTCAGCAGAGACATGTGAACAGTGTGGCTGCCAGGTAACATTAAAGAAGGTTTAGCAAATCTATGGAAAATTTCTTATTCCTGTCAGTATCGCAGCTAGCTCGTTTAACACTACCACAAAGGTTCCTACCTAAGTCGCACACACACTCTTTGACTCTATGGTGTTCAGTTACAAGGTGTTACTACTTTCATACTCAGTCCTCACTGAAAGCTCCAAATACACTGAAAAAATAAGAAAAGGGACAATGAAATTTAGGACCAGCTCATTTAATGTATGTGTATCCTCAACACCACCGCAAACTACGGAAACTGTGGAGAGCTGCAAGTGCTTGAAACATTCAAGTATGAGCAAGAAATGCTTGAATAAAGATGAGTCAGTATCAACAGCCCTTTAGGTTGAACTGTGTCTGCAAATTCTGACATACAACGATAAGCTTGGAAGACAACGATCTCAAGGAATCAACATCCATGGATGCCAATGTAAATTAATGTATGACTTACAACAGATCTTACACTGAAGACTGGAGAAATAGTGTGGTTACAGCTGTGATAAGCATCTAAGTGATGAAAGGTCTCTATTTATTAGGCCACCTGGAGAAAGAGATAAACCTGTCTTCAGGTCATTTAAGTGAAATGTTACATGTTTGATTCAGCGCTGTTCCACATCTTACGAGGGCAGGAAGTGTAAAGCCAGGCTCAGAATAAAGCAGGAAGAAAAACAAGAGTAAGAGCAGTAATTATATGGGTTTTGTAGAGGGGCTTAGAAGTAATCAGCAAAATGCAAATACAGCAACTGGAATTCCAGGACTTGATAATGAGAAGTGAACAGCTATTACTGCTTACAACATTTACGTGCATACCTTTTTACTGTCCTAATTGTACATAGTATGAGGATGTAATTACTCAGGTTTGGGATTTGCACATAGAAAAGCACTGCTGTTTAACATTCTGGTTAGTATTTTTCAGGTATTGTTTATTCACGGGATGTTTACCACAGATTTGGAAGTTAACGGTTGATGGATGCAAATTCTTAGCTATCTGGAAAAAACAGACGGATTATTCTGGCACAGACCTAGAACTAGGAACTGCAAGAGACTGAGAACTTTCCAATTGCATCCAGCAGGAGTTGAGAGTGTGTGATCTCTCGCGCCTAAGTCCCGCCAGCCCCACTGAAGGAAGCAGTTTCAGTCTCTGACTGACACTAATACTCTCATTTCTGAGAGTCTGGTGACCTGGGATTATTGCTATTTAAGAGAGGATGTTTAAGGAAAATGGCTGTACTCCACTTCCATGACCTCCCAAATCTTATGCTCTGCCATGGATCTGACCAGCTCCCAACACAGATCTTGTACATCCTGGCTGCATGGTGCCCAAAGGGCCACTCCAGGAGCTGAGAACGGCCAGACAGCGGAAGTGCTTGACTACCCTGCTTTTCGCCAGTCCCACGCCTCATTGCTCCCTGGCCGGACACTCACTTGCAAAGAAGAAAGACCGGCCAGGGAATACTGCTCTGCTCACCCAGTGCTACACGGCTCTCTTTTCCTTGCAAAGGCTGCCCATGAAACCTCCATAAATAGTGCTGCGGCAGCCTACAGCAGGAGAAATCCTGGATGAAAACCCTGCCTGTCTCACTGCTTCGTGTACCTGAAGAGGTCCTCAGCTGCACCGGAGTTCCTTGTACCATGTGAATTTCACTCTAAATATAGAAAATTCTCTTCCTGAGATTTTGTACTTGAACTGTCATTTAATACTTACAAGGATGGGCACCATTATTCATCTGGAGAAAAAAAGAATTGCTCCCATAATGATCAAATTCCCCTCACTTCAGGCTTTGACCTCAAAAAACCTGACAGTGGTAATTTGTGCATCTATTCTGACACCACAGTAACCCAAGGCTCACTAGCAATCCAAAGGTGCAGTCCTGGGATGCAGCCATTATGTTTAGCTGAAAGCATTTAGCAAGCAAATATAACCTACTCAGAAATTCAAGCCACAGGGAATATTGTTTATTCCAGGAACCTTGTGCAGCTTGCTTTATGCATTTTTATAAATACAAATAAATTCATTTAAGAACAACTTAACCTTGTGGATTTAAGATTCATTTAACCTTTTTGCTCATATGTTCTTTAAACTGCAGGCTTTGCATTTTTATTAAACAGTTTTGAAAATCTGAACATTTGTCACAGTACGCCATCCAGCTGCCCCACAGTTCCTCCCCTTCTGTGGGTAGCAACGTAATAAAATATTTTATCAGAGGAGCCAGTAAGTTCTCAAACCAAACAATGGCCACCTACCCACAGATGAAGGTGGACAAGTATTCCTAACCTGGCATACAGCTATAAAATACAATTCACGTGTTATAGCTGTAAAATGACATATACAACTAGTGAAGCTGAGGAAGAAGTGTAAATAAATGTAAATGACCAAAGTAATTACAAATAGGTAAATACTTCATGATTCAAAGGACAGCTAAAGCTCAACAATCATTGCCTTCATAAGGGTAGGACAGCAAAGGTAGCCCTAGAGGGAAACCTGCAGTAAAAGCATATCCTTCTGTAAATGTGTGCGTATAAATTGTACTGTAACACATAATATAGGCAAGAAGACAGGAAGGCTCCTCCCTGTTTAATAGACAGTGGATCACTCACCACATCTACTTGCTTCACTTTAGCATGACAGTCTGCAGTACATTACCTCAGGTCTTTGTTTTATGTAGTTATCTTACTATACTGCATACAGGAAGAAAGTATGATATCCAGAATGCTGATAACTCCTGTGTTGTAGACAGTACAACCTAAATGAACTGAACACAGGCATATTTTTACTTAAATATTCTCTACATCTAGTTAGATCATGTTTGCTATAATAAACATCTACTTAAGACAACGCAGCTTTGTGATTGAGCTCTGTAATGCTTAGGCTCCAGTCGGCTCACAGGCAAGCTGGAGAGTTACTACAGTGAATTCCCCTCCTTCAGTACACTGTGCATTGATCATAGCTGGAAAGAATACAGTTTTCCTGTTGTGTGAATTATATTTGAATGTAGAAAAAGAAAGTTCACGTTCCACACTGAGAAAGGTCTTTCAGTGGACTGGTTAGCAGTTATAAATATGGCTGTGGGGATGTGAGAAATCAGGGATCGGGTCCCTGCTGCCATCACTCCATATTCTAGGTGAGTGGCTGAGCCTGGCGCCCACTGTTAAACTGTGTTGCAGAGAGTGAAGCTTCACATCATGGCTGGGAAGGGTGGCAGAACACAGTCTTTGGCTAAAGCCCAGCTCGCCTTCCTTCTCGCTTTTTTAAAGTCCAATGTCTGGAAAAATTCACCTTCATTACATTTATCATGAGTAGCCACACAAGTTGTACGAGGTACTTGAGTCAACAACAGAACACAGCAAACACAAACTAAGGCTGCCCAACTCAGACCAGCTGGGCAAGGGCAGCCAAGGAACCAGACCCAGCTCAAAGTGTGAAGCCTGTTGTATCAAGGGAAAGTTGGCTACAGAAAGATTGGGAACAAGAGTTCTAATAAGAACTGGATGAGGACTGGTTTTGGGGTGGTTTGACTTACTGGAGCAGAGCATTCAAGTGAGTGACTAGCTGGACAGCAGTAAACAGGCTGGAAGGGCTAGTTTGGTTTGAGATAGAAGGGGCCAACTCAAGCTTTACAGTGTTTAAGGGCTGGTAGGACAACTTTAGCTGGCCTGTGCTTTGGTGGCACATTTTTCTGTAGTGAGTTCAGTCATAGCTTCTTAGTCAAATAGCACCCACTATTTCATTTGAAATGCATTCACCTTTGAAAAAAGTAACTACTTCTGAGCTCTGTACTTACTTTGTCTACATGCCAACTTGCAGCAATTTAATCAAAACCAAAGCATGTGTCCACCATATTTATTTTGAAAAAAAAATATTTTGCAAAAATTCTGCATGAGCCATCTTGAAATGAGCATGCTTTGACTACAAAGTATGTTTTAATCTGCATGAATATGAGCATTCAGGACTCTCTTTTTGATGCTTCCTACTATTTTGAAGTTATGATTGCTATTGCTGACATTTTTTGCAGAAGACAGTCAAAATAGCAAACATTCAATTTTTGCATCCATAAGACAAAAAAAGGGGGACTTGTAAGTCATCAGAATTTCTGTAAAGATTTTGCCTGGTGCACAAAAGAGCTAAGTGCTGTCATGTCACAGATACAAACATTTGTCAGGAGAAAACATAAATCCTCCTTTTGTTAAGACCACAAAACATTAGCGTGTAAAAAAATCTTACTTCCTTCTATTTACTAAAATGAGGCCAAAGACCTGGTCTCTTGTGCACTCAACAACTGTTTCAGTGTTGTCTTAAAAAGCATTTTGACTTGGTTCAAAGAAATGTATGACATTTTTCATGTCGTTGTTCAAAAGGATACAACGCAGCACTTTCACACACTTTACCACTGGAAAAACGCTGTATTATGACACCACAGAGGTTTAAAGCAGTGGGACTTTTTCAGAGATAAAGGAAGTGTGAAGTGGCTGACTGGTCACCACTTTAAGCAGGGTTGCACGCAAAGGTGACAAACTCTGGCATCCTTTTGCCTCCCGTAGAGCTACTTAAATTTATAGCAACCTTAAGAGTAGACTTTGCTCCATTTTGCACATGGCATGAACATACTGGTACATTTTCACCTGGTTCACCTGTGTAAGTAATGAGATCTTTAACTGGTAAAACAGGGATTTGTGTATTCCCTTCCCCTCTATCTACCTCTCTTCTCTAGCTTCTGTGAGAAAATATGTAAGAACCAAGAGTTATTTTCCAAAGCATGAATTTTTAATTCCTCAGGTTTGTGTTGTCAAAAACCAGCAATATTTAATAGAGAACTCAGTACAAACCCATTAATGACAATTACAAGCATTGCTCTGTCTTTAATGAAAGATTATGGCATTTAGTTTTCCATTTCACATCTGTGTTCTCTTGCAGTCTTTGGTATTGGAAACAGGTTGAACTACATAGATTATCTACTACCAGCCAGTTTACACTTAGAGGTTTAGATTTTGTAAACACCAAGCCCTCGTTTTAGCAGCTTGCCCATTTGAGAGGACTGCAAAGTGGGAGTGAAATACTTTTACCATCTCTTCAATGTATCCATGGGAACAGAAGGAAGTTTCAGCATACATGACAACTGAAACCACAATGTTGTAATGAAAATAGTACAATTAGCTCTGGGCAGCAAGGGACAGTCCTGGATCTGATCCCAGCTGTGCAGGGGTGAGCAGTGATCTTCCTCAGAGGCAGTGCAGTGACATGGGCTGGCACAAGCCCCCCCTGTAGAAATGGAGACCCACCCAGTCATCTGCCACGTTTGCCCTCATCTTCCTCTGCATCTGCGGTCCAAGACACAAGCTGAGGAAATCCCCCATTATGTCTATTCTAAATGAAGAGGTTCAGTCAGCTCAGTCAGCTCTTTGTGGACCTCTCCGTGGGGCACAGGTCTTAATGATCTGCATGCTCTGAATCCCATGTCTTCCACCTTTATTCTTCCAGTACTCCCACTGCCACCTAACCCGCTTCAAGTGTGCTTGCATTTTGGGAAACCCCACTGCCCATGTTAACTGGACTATAAATAACTTTGGAGTATATTTTCAGAGGTAATGTCCTCTTAAGTGTGTGAGTTAAATGGATGCCAATTATTAATAAAACTTTACTTGTAATTTTAAGGATATACCCACCAGCATGGGTAGGAGTTACAAGTTTCGGTAGCCTCAGTTGCATTTGTGGATAGCTAAACTTTAGTCAGCATAAATGTGACAAACTTTGGTAAATTGTTTGACATAGTACCTAAAAAATATTTTGTTTTTTAAAACATAGTCCCATATCTTACCAATAGCACACACAGTTGAGCAACATATGAGTAGAAAAGAGCCAATGTGGAATTTTTACCAAATAAAAGTATTTCTAGAGATGCTATGTCTAGGTCTCACAATGATTCATTCACCAATCTCAAGCAGCATTGAAACAAAATACCAAGAAAAATGGTAAATACGTAAATCCCAACCAGGCTTGGATATGTCTGTTCCAGACATATACTGATATGGGGCTTAGTACAAAAATGAACAGCATGAGTTATATGAGAAGCCAGAGCTAACTCATCTACTAGTTCCCTGGCCTTTAAAAACATGACTAGGAGTTGCTTCTTGACAGTCCTGTTTACAAATGAAAATTCTGCTAACAGTAAGGTTCAATATTACCTGACTGACAAACATGAGAAGAAAGTCGGCCATTAGCTTGCTTATCTTTGGACAGCATCACGGGTCTCAGCTGATGTGACAATATCATTTCATTCAATTTTTGCTGCAATGCTAAGTAGTCTTCAGATAATTTTGATATCTGAAAAATATAACACAGGATTTTACATTATTATATAAGTAAGTATATAAGTTCCAAGGTAATCAAAGGTAAAACAGTGGACTAGAGAATGAATTTAAAAGGTATTGTTCCATGTACTTCAGTGCAGGCCCCTACCACACTTATCGCCCCATCCCCCTTTAAAAAAAAAAGGGAAGAAAAAAAAAAAGACACATAGGAAACTCCACACTGCAGCCCAGTCCTGCATCTACTTCATATTGGTTCACACATGTGAGCAGATGGTGCCTTGCTGATGCAAAATAGCTTCTACAGCTGTAGGCATACTTCTCTGCACATGTGTGAGTCCCTGACATTGACACAGCAACTTTTAGTTTCATTTACAGAGACATTTCACAGGTTTACTGAATTAAGAGCCTTGCCTGGTAAACGCACATTTCAACAAATGCCAAGCTTCTGCATTTAACCTAAACCAGGTTAAAATGAACATAATTTTTTTGCCAGTGCTCTTTGTCTTCCCTCCTTCCTGAAAAGGGTATTTTCTCTTGCAGCCCAAAATACACATTTTTATAGAACATTCATTACAAAATCTCAGTCTCAGTTCAGAGTGTAAAACCTTGGTGCCGCTGAAGCCAGTAAAATAACTTTGCCGTTCTGTCATTGCTCAGAGTATTATGTTCAACATACGTAGCTTATAAGCTTCTTACCTGCCGTGAAAAGGCTGCCAAATCACAAGCCTCTTTCTCTGAGTCTCCCTTCAGTGTCTTAGAGTCTTCAGCCTCAGTACTGGTGCTTTCCCTATCTTTTGTTGTTTGGGGATCATTATTTTGAATGTGCACTGTTTCTGTTGCCTCCTTTATAGTTTTCTCTTGACTTTTGCAAGGTAGTTTCCCTTCTTTTCTGAGTTGTCCCCTCCTTCTGTAACCCCGGTAACTGCTCTGAATAACCACTGCTGCCTTCTCTTTGTCTTCTGAACCTTGTTTTTCTGCCTCAACTTGCTTCTGTGAGTCTCTTAGTGACTCTTTTCTTATAATTCCTTTACATCCTGTAGGCATCACTGCTTCATGTTTCAGGTGGTTTCTTTCCACATCCCTGTCACTCCTGGGCTGGACCACAGCAGATTCTTGATCTTGCCCATCTGCACTGAGTGTGTCTTGATTATCTTGCTCTTGCTGGGGACTAGGCTCAGCTGTGCTTTTGACAGAAGATTTGCTGGACAGCTCTTCCAAAGAGGCTTGTTCTTCACCTTCACCAACATGTTCTACTGCAGGGTTCTGCTTCACAGAAGCTCCCTCTCCTTCAGTAGATATTTTTTGTTGCTCCTGTACATTCCCCGTGTCACTGTACCCAGAGCACTCGCTGTCAGTAACAGCATCAGCTTCATCTTGAGTCTCCTCGTTTGCTGCTTCTTCCAGTGTATCATTTTGATCTGGCTGCAGTTGTGCTTCAAGGAATTCCACAGCAGATAATTCTTCCTCTGCTATTTTTTTGTGCTGTTCCTTTATTTGTTTATGGACTCTGTAGCCTCTGTAATGGCTCTGAACAATGACAGCTGCTTCTTCTTCTGTTTTAGGAAGGGCACTCTTCACTCCAGCTGGACCTTCCTCATTATCTTGAAGTTCTTCATCCTTTTCCTTTTCACTAATGGATGCTGCATTTTCAGTTTGTCTCTTTCTAAGTGATTCCCTGAATGGAATAGAGTTTTGGGCAAAAATTATAGCTGAAGGAGATGAAGGATAGTGACAACTTTACAACTATCTTTGGTGTACTAAATGGCAATTTGATACATTGCAACATGGGAAAGATTTAGTGCATATAGCTGGAATTAAACATAGCAAACCAATCTCTGTCTGTCTGATGATTATTATTTCTTACAGTGAAAAGGGACATCCCTGTTAAACTCTGCACGGAAAATTGCTAGGGGGACAATCTAGGCTGCATGAGGGCTGATAAAACAGTAAAGAATTAATTTAAATGTTAACAAAAATGTAAGGCAGAAACTTTTTAGCACCTTAAATATGTATAAATACACACAATCCTAAACGTATTCATGAAAGAAAACTGCCTCAAATCACACTAGAAATGCAAAAAAGAATGATCCTGGGCATAGGTCCAGGTCAAATTTAAAAGACCTATTCCCTAAACTGTCTTTGTTACTATCAATAAAACTTCAGTGCCAGGTGAAATCTGCCACCCTGTTCCTTCCCTCTGAAAGACTCTGGACTCCTTCACAGCTGTTTTCCACCTCTCTGGACTAGAGTCCACCTACTTAAATGCTATCACTGAAAAAATGATGGTGATGAGCAAAGTGCTACTAGCTCCATTTCAGAGACTGGGACTACAACCACATTGCTGAGATATTTAGAATGTGATTCACCTCACCTAACTTTTAGCTGTTTGATCTGAGCAAGACATCTGGGTTTCCGCTGTCATCACCTATGCTTATCTCAGTGACTTAAGATGAGAAGAACAGTTCCTTGAAGACACCTATTTCTTGCTCTTGTCTGAGCATTTTTTATGATGAGCTAGTTCCAGAAAGAGACTAATCTACCAATTACATTAACATTACAGGTAAGCACAATATTGTTGGTCTTTCCCCTAAATATGACTTTATTCCCTGGGCTTAAAAATAGGAGAAAATTGGCTACTGACATTAAAAACCTCCACATAAATGTACATTTCCTCTGCATATATACCTAGAATAATCCTAATTTGCTTCACTTTTAGCTTACATCGCTGTTCTTCAGCAGGTAAAGGGACACATTTGAGTGACGTAAGAGATAGAAAATAACACTACCTCCTCCTTTTGAAGATCTTCCTCTCCTTATGTCCCCTGTAGTGAGACTGAATTGTTATTGCTGCTTTGTTCCTTGCCTCAGTTAGTTCTTTTCTCTTCTTCCTGAGTAAGTATCCTCTGGCAACTGATACAAATTGTAATAGAAAACAACCTTAGGCAACAAGAAATGGGTGTCCCACGCATTTCAAAGAGTCAAATGATAACAGCATTAAACAAAAAACAATAAGGAAATAAGGACCGGGGTGGTGGTTATGATTACGTTTCATCTGAAATTATTCTGTCCCACAAAATTTTTTGAGATTTCAGACAGCTGTACCCATTCTACATGAGGATACAAACAAGCTCTTTCTTCGTATTTTATTGGACTAAAGAAAATACAGGAAGATACAGAATGAAGCAGAAGCATAGTGCTGTAGAAGTGCCTCTAGAACACAGTGCTCTCAGCCTCATGTACCTGCTTTGCCTGATTCAGGCAATTGATTTGACTCAGTCTTTCATTTCCCTGGGAAACGCCTGATTATCAGGCTATAGAGACTACCAGGCTCTCTTCTGGCACAGGCTTGGAATTAGCTGAACATTCACTAGATCAGAGAGAAACTGAAAATTTTATAGCTTAGCACTTACAGAAGACTTAGCTCATGCTCCTTTTGCAAAGACTCATTATTCAAAATGAAAAAGCTCAGCATGAAAGATGTGCTAAGCTCCACAGTAACCAGGTGCACTGTAGCAAGGGTACTCACTACTTGTGCTTTGTGGGAGGGACAAGTTAAAGTTTCTGGTCTGAACCAGGATGAATAAGGACTCAAACATCGGTCTTCCCTGAGACATGCAGGCACTGACTAGTCATTAGGGGCTTGGTGCAGTTGCCAGCACACAGGTATCTAGTGCCATCTGAAGTGCTCCAGGATAGCCGAGGCACCTGCATGGAGCTGGCAGAAAGAACAAGACAGATGGGACTTTCTGGTGAGGGAAAGTTGGGTATACCACATGAAATAAAGCTGGAGGCCAGGCAAGATAACCTAGGGCATCTCAAATGACACTAGATACCAATATGGGGGCAAATGAGCTGAGCATTTGGTGGTTTTGAATAAAATGAATCAAACTCTAGGCTCTGCTGACTAAAAGCGGAGTTTAAACACCTAGGTCACTTTTAGACATCTACACTGAAGTGTCTTAATCAGAAACTGAATTGCATTCAGAATGTTGCTTCAAAAATTCCTGAACTTGCAAATAATTTCCTAATGGGAACTAGCACAGTCTCCACAGTGCTGTGATTTGGACAAGTCTGCAATTCCAGGGATTCAGCACAAATCTGGTAATCCCTGGCAAAATAAAAAGAACATAGTGTTTTGTCAAAATATTTCTGTTGAACTCTAATTCCAAATGCAGTACCAAGACTATGGTGGTAGAGGATTTGGATGATTTAAATACCCTGAGGAGATGGTAGATATGGGAGCTCTTAGTCCAACTCTGCTGAGAGTGTTTTGCATCACAGGGAAAGGTCAAGCTCACTTAAAAATGGGAAGGGAGCATAAACAGTCTATTCTAACACATTCGTATAACTTGATGCTAGGTTTTATTTGCTTTAGCATTCCCTACTCATAATTTAGACCAACTTGGGCTCCATTAGATGCAGTGGTTCAGTGTAAGAAGCACTGTATAAAAGGGACATAAATTACATCTTGATAATTGGATATAGGGTAAAGGAACCCAAATACTTATTGGAAGTGGCACAATTGGGTTTTATACTGCAGTCTGACAGGGCCTTAAAAAAGTGCAGATTATAAAGCACTTGGAATAGTTCTAGAGTTTCCTGGACTTCTGAGCCAATCCTCCTCCCATTTTGATACAAAAGCAACTCAACAGGAGTTATTTTAAAATAAATCAAGTTACATTGTCAATGGGCATACCAATATAAGTTGTCTGGTCTTTTCAGACTTATTCTCGTTCACCTTTGAAATGTCCTGAGAACTTTGTTATGAGATAGTAGCTGTCTAAGCTTTGTTTTCAAGCTGGAAGAGGAGTTTTGTATTGCTTTAGAAATAAATGGGGGGAAAAAAACTGAGAGAGCTAAGTAAAAATGGACTTCCATTTTGTTCTGGCTTCTCATGCACTGAAAAAAGTTGAAATGAAACTGCACACAGGACAGAGAAGGTAGACAAGAAGAAACATTGGGGAGATCAACAGAGCAGAGTGCTAAATTCATACTTTTGCATTTGCTAAATATCTTAATATGATTGACAACTTTCAGGTGTGTAATTATTTTTGGCACATCACTGGATTAGATTCTGTTTTTTGATTCTAGCATACATCTGGGCCCAAGGTGATTATTGCTGCAGAAGAGAAGGAATATTTTGCTAGGTTGGACTGAGCGATGGCAAAAAAGAATCAGAGACATGAGTGAAATTACAGGTTGTAGTCTTCTCAAACATAACAATATCAGCTATTAGACATATCAGACTAGGAGTGAAAAGGCTTGCTATGGCATTTAACCAGCCCACTTCACAGCTGTGGAAAGTGCCCCTAAGCCACTGTGAGGTACTGGTAACAGAATACATTGACCCGTTTCAACCACTGTATATAGATACATAATAGATAAATTATGTCTTGGAATGTGTAAATAAGCATAGTCAATCAGTGTAGCTAGGTAACAGCAAAGAATCTGGATCAACATATTGTGTATGGATAGCACATTAAAAGCCACAAAAGTAAACAATTCTTACTTGCTTGAAGTCTAGTAATATATTCTTCCACTTTTTTATTACGTTTTGCATTTGTGTATTCTTTACGAGCCACAAAACCCCTGTAAGCTGAAAAGAGATGTCAAAAATTAAATAATCCATTAGGTACACAAAAGGCTGCAAGAATAAAAAAAGTCTGGAAGGAATTATAGACCTCCATTAAAATATTCATAAATATTTTGCAGGCTTTATCTTTCAAAAAAAATGGCAAACAAGCACAAGCAGTAAATCTACATAAAAACTATGTTTTCTGGTGAGTAAAGTTACTATGAATGAAATGAACACAAAACACGAGAGAATCAGAATGTAAAATAAGATGATGTTTGAAATGTATTAAAAATTTCAGTTGATGTCTCCATCAACAGTGTAATTGGTCTTATTATCTAGGATGGTTAATACATTTTATTTTCATTATTATATTATACGATGTTGTCAGAGCATGCCAGAATATTATTAATAACAGTATCATCTGTGTAATCATGTCCTTCCATTGTTAAAATTGCCTTTTAAATGTAACAGTGATAAACGTAACTTCAGTAAAGAGATTGTCATAACTTGGTTAAAAGAATTTTTTCTTCCCAAGAACAGATATCACCAAATGTAGATATTTTGTCAAATTTAACAGCAGGAAAACAGCAAAATCCACATCCAGCATGCACATCCATCTATCAACTGTACACATGCACTAGCTTTAAGCAAAATGTTAAATGTTTTAAAGCTATTACCTGACTGTATTTTGATAGCACTTTGTTCCCTTTGTTCCTTTATCTTTTTGTATCTCCTTGAACCCAGCCACCCTCTGACACAAGCTTGAATCAAAATAATCATGTCAACTGTCTCCTTCCGCATTAAATTTAGCTGCTCCACATGATAGTATTTGAGGAATACCTTAAAAAGAATAGGCAGACAAGCAAAAGTTTGTTACCCTCCCAGGCCCTGTATTCACTCAATCCATTTAACATCAACAAGAGTTACAAGCTGGTTTCAAATGGTGAACAGACTCTTTAGCTGTAGTATCTAAAGGATCATTCTTGTTAAAGATAGCATTTTGATTCTTTGGGGTGTTAGTTTACCTTACTCTCCCCTTCAACATCTTTTGTCAGTGCCTGCTTATACATGCTGTCATGGGAAGATGTTTTAAAGTCCCAGTGCAAAACTTCAGTCTGTAACTATAAATCTATGAGGCTGACAGTTTTGCTAACCTCACAAATCTGATGTGCTTTACATAAATGTGATCCAAATCTGGAACCTTCAACCTCCCTGCTTTCCAATTAAATCTAAGGCATTGTTTACCTACTAAATTGCTTTTATCAAGCATGAAGCTCATATAACCCCTGAAAAACTCGTCTAGCACGAGAGATACAAACACATTCCTGGTGTACATTAGGATGAAATAAAATGTGTAGAAAGAGCTTGTGCAATTAAGACAATAATTATGCTTATTTTGCAGAATTCCCCCGATCTTTGCTCACTCGTTGGTACAGATACAGGTTAACCCTAATTAAAGTAAACATAAGCTATAGATCTCACAATATGCTTCCTTTGGCTGCATGTTGTCCATTAGCCTTACCAAGACAGCAGAGGGAAATAAAGGGTGAGGAGGAGGTAACTTCATGGCTTCTGCCCCACCTATCCAGGAAGATGTGTCAGAAGAACAGTTGTTTCTTCTACACTGAGGTGATTTCAGATAGCTTAGGATCTATCTCTCTTTCTATCCATATCCTTCCTGGGCACTTCTGTTACATTAGCAAATAGAGAGACTTGGTGCAGTACTTGTCTGACGCTGCTTTTCCCTGGCAGACCTCCTGAGATCTGTCAATTGAGGGTGGGTGGGTGTCCCTCTCTGGCACACTGGGAAGACTAGTGAGCTAGAACCAAAAGCAAGGGTATGGAAACAGACATGTATTTCTCTTTAATAAAGTCTTCCCCCACTTCACATATATGGGATCATCCTGCTATCTCTTCCCGCAGTGCTCAGCAAAGTCTGCAACAGAGGCCTCCGGCTGGAAAGCCAAAACCTTTTCCTCTCCGTTTGTGAGTCTGATTGCTCCAGGGAAGAAGTATAACTTGTTTTCCTTAAGAAAGCTTGGAGTAAACTCACTGGGATCCTTACTACCACATTTTTTGAAAGAAAATGCAAGCAGTGTTGCTGTCACATACTGCTTTGCACTGTGGCCTCACTAGAGCTGATCAGAATTTTAACACTTTACAGGGTCAGGATTTCAGCCAGATATCAGGGAACAGTACTCAGCAAAGGGTGGGTTTTTTTAAACCGATAGAGACCAAGAGCTACCCCAACCAAATGGGTGAGAAAGCAAATTGCTTAATAAGTTAACAATGACATACTGCAATAATGCAGATACAGTATATTAAAAATTTACTTTAGTTTTTCCAAGAACCCAGTTGTCAAGGCGGGCTTTTTCCAAGATGGCAGCACAGGTTTCCGGGCTGACTGGAGGATCATCATTTGTTTTGTAACAGATGAGGTAATACCTAAAGACAAATATATGATTCTTTATTCCATTAATAGTGAGCAATAGATGCAAATACATTTAAACCATTCATTTAAATAATAAAAAGTTGCATGAAAGAAAACATAGCACTGAAAAAAAACAAAACAGCATATGAAAGAAATTGCTGTGATTTATATGCAGTACTGAGAAACCCAATCGAAAGTGGATGAGTGACATATTGCACACCCTGGAGGGTTGTTTAATTCTATATCAACACCAGAAGGCTTTTAAAAAGTGTGCAACCCAAGTAGAGTTGTGCACCAGTTCTTTGGCTCTCTGCATTCTGTGAAAGTGATTTCAGTGGCAAAATAAAAATATTTTTAAAGCTTTTCTGCCTAAATTAGCTTATTTCTTATCTAGAAATGTCATGAAAATTTCATGTCTTATCTCATGTGCTAGACCATCTGCCTTTGAGATAGTTAACATGATGTGAGATGCATCCTAGCTCTTGTTACCTCCTTGGATTCAGCTTTGCAGATCCTTTTGGAACATATATGTGCCATTATGACATATCGTATGTAAGCATTTAATCTGGCAAACTCATTACTCAGAATTAATTCTGACTAAGAAAAGAGGTCAGGATACTCACGCATAAAAATTACCCATAATGTACCAGCTCAGCTGCTGGGTAGGAAAGTTCTTGTGTGTTCCAGGACTTTCCAAAATGAACCATAACAAAATGAACCATACCTATCTTGGGTTTTTTAATTCATGAAAATTACATTGATTATGTATGCTTCCTGACAGTACATTCTTCTCTTTTTCTTGTTATTCAGCCTTTATACACAAAGCTTGGGTTGTACCAGCTTTAAATAATGGTAAGAATTTCCTCATGGAATAATATAAAAAGAGACAATGTTGATTCCTGCATTATAACCAATTCCTACAGCTCCTTGTTTTTTCTTTTTACTACACAATGAATTGGCTTATTTTTATTCTAACAAAATAATTTTGCCATTATTCCAGGTCTACTTGTAACTCTCAACTATTAAAAAAAAAAGACAAGGAGATAGATAATAAAAATCCCTTTTTGTTTGAGGGCCATATCCTCAGTGCTGGAGATCTGCACAGCCTCACTGCAATCAGGGGGCACGCTCTCTGGAGAGCTACCCTGTTACGTTCACTGCTTTCCTCTCTTTTACCTGAACAGTAAAATTTTTTATAAAAAGCAGTGACCAAAAGCCACAGCACATCTTGGTACAGTGATAACTACCTTTTCCCATGCTGCACTCTTCCGAAACAGTAATAGTCCCAGGATTATTCTTTCCAGAAACAGTGCTATAAAAACATCACTTTGTCCTTCCTCCCTCTCCTCGTGCACTTGCAGCACTCTGCTGCCAGCTCTCTGTTTCTAATGCTCTATTACTTTTAAGTGCTTCTGTCTGAATGGGTGTTGCTTGCTTCTTCCCAGTTTTGATCTCCATTCCATAAATCTCAGTTCTGACTGAGGCAAATACTCAGGGTCTTTATTTGTAAGAGAGAAGTACAGATAAGTGTTCAGGATTAATTTTTTTGGGCGGAGGAAGAAGAGACAGTTAAAGGAATTATAAAATCATAGTGAGTCATTACTCTTCTTCTTAACAAGTGACTAATACTTAGAAATTACATTTTAAACAAAATTATGCACTTAATGAATTTATCAGCCGTAGATTAGCAATACCAAATTATCATCCACCCTGCACAAACAGATGCTGCACAGTGCTGAACATCAGGAACTAGAGAAACTGTGGTGCTCCTTGGATGCTATTGCTCCAAATTCTTGGCTTTAATTTGAAGCATTAAATTTCTAAACCTCAAGTCTTTGAAGAAAACTTGCAGATTATAGGCAAGACAATTTTTACCCAAACGCACAGGGAACCTAAAACAATGAGATGCATCATCTTCCCCTACCAATCCAAAACAGGTCACTAATCTTGTGCCTGAACTACTCTTTGTCATCCAGTCTGTAATCTTCTTTGTCACAGGAAATGTCTTTGTATTTTTTCTTTAAAGACCATACCAAAGACACTGCTGATGGTTAACAAACACTGGGCAGCAATGACAGGAGAGAAAAAGGCTTCTTCACATCAATGTTACCGTTTTATGAAGTTAGCGAACAGTATACGGTGTGAATAACCCTGTCTTCGGATTCTTGCTGTCTCCAGAATTCCTGTGTAACGCAGCTGAACCAACACTTTTTCTTTATCAAACTTGTTTGCCTGCCGGTCGTTGTTTGGCTTGATGCACCTGACAAAATGAGGCTGGCCGACGACCATTTTGGATAACAAATCCATCAGAGAATACTGCAAGAAAGTAACAAGGTATCTGCCGTCAGGATATTTATAAAACTTGTATATAGGTCCATGTGTAGCTGAAATTTTATTTCATATGATCAGAATCATGTCCAAATCCATTTACATTTCAGTAAGCTGGTACTTTAATGGTAGATGAAGTAAATGACCCAACAACAATTCTAGCTTTGATAAGATCTCTAAGTTAACTAGCGTATACTACTTGACAGAAACACAGATATGGATGTACCAAATTCCACCCAGAACATTCTCACAAACTGCCATAATGTCTAACATATGATAGAAACTCTCCTTACACTTATTTGCTTCGCCTAACAAGGCAACCTGCCTTGTTAGGTAATTACAGCCCACTTTTTATTTCTCCCATTGTCACCTATTTGAAGATCTTTATTCACCCAGAGAGTAAATGATCCATCTACAGATGGGAAGTGGAAGAGGAGCAAGCCAGTAAATATTGCCATCCCTTCATTAGACTGGAGGAAACTAAGGCCACCCCAGAAGAGGGTCTGCTTAAACTGCTCTGATCTAGCACGTCCTGTTCATTGTATAGGCTGATAGTGATACTGTAGCTGCCCTCTAAGAGGAAACTTTTGAGGAGGGCAAAACTAGAAGTACACAAAATCACAATTCCAAAGTTGTACTCTCCCACCTCACCAGGGTACCAGGCTAGCAGAGGGATACAGTTTGTAGCTCCCCATGCCAACTGAGGTGAATCTGGCTGTAAACAACCTTGACTGGTGTTTTGTAAAATTGTTTCATGGGAGAATCTTATTAAAACACAAATGAAGAGGCTCATTCCTCAAGATTCAACCTGACTCAACAGAAAGAGGCAGCCAGGAGGTAATGCAGTTCAGCAGTAGGTTGGATACATGAAACTAGTGTAGGACGTCAAGAGCCATATGTTTCCTATTAAAATGTGCAATTCCATTCTGGACAGATGCTGCACCATGCACCAAAGTGCTTAATTAGCTTCATCACTAGTGTGCCAATTGAACACAAACAAGTAGGACACGCTAATGGATAATTTTTCTTTTCCACTCAGTCTGAGGTGGCAGATGCTTTTCTCAATCACCCACAGATTTCTGCATACGAGTAAACCAGTGGGGCTGAAGCTGAATCTTCATTTAAGAGCATTAGCTAGCATTATCTGAGCAGGGATTTCCACTACAGCAAATAATAACAGAAAAGTGTAAATATAATTAACTCATTTGCAGCCTCTGATGCTAGATGTACTGGTAATGCACTGAATCACAGACATTAGGTTTGAATGAGATTCAATAAATTTTTCCATCTAGAACTTTAAAACACCATGCAGCTTTGGAGCACCATGCTATCTAGGCTGAAATTATCCTTCACAGTCCACAAAGCTGTGCAATTGTATCTACTAAACAGAGATCTTGCTCCTTACTGTTCTCTGTCATAGATGTAAATGAACTCTTATGGGTCGTGATCATCACCTCAGCCATCTTCATGTTTTTTCTAGGAGAGATGACTAAATAAGATTTGGAAATTCAGAGCTGAGCCCAAGTGAACCAACTCTGTGCACCCCTTTGGAGGAAAGAATGCTTTTCACAGCTATTTTCTATTGCAAGACCAGCAGCACAGCCCGTGCTTGGGAAGGTCAAGAGCACTGCTGAAGGAGCCACAAGGATGGACTGAGGACAGCCTCTGAGCAGTAACCATCAAGATCTTTCTCTGGAGCTCCTGCTTCCAATTAACTTTGCCCTCTTGCTTCTTAAGCTCTTAAAGAAATGCTATACCACTAATGGCCAACCTCCCTTTATCTCCCTTGGTGGAAAAACAAGCAAGTGAAAGATTAATATCCATCACCATACATCTTCATGACAGAAATGTGGCTGTGTAATCAAGTACAATTAAAGATGAAACATCACAATCCCCTCTAGATATTTGTACTGCACAGACTGCTGCAACATATATGCAGTTCACAAACTCTAAATGGATCACTGTTGACTCTAAGTCAACAGGGGCATTTCAAGAGGTGAAAGAATAAACATTCATTCTACTCTAGACAAATTTATTAAAAGATCTGATATCTTACTCTAAAATAAGAAGCGACTGTCTGTGTTTTCATGCTGGTTGTCTCTCTTGGATGATGTCCGGTATCTCCTGCTTCATTCTATAAAGATGAAGAAAGAAAATGACACTTTTTGTCTCTGTTGAACCTGTAGTGCCCTTTCCAACACCACAACAAAGCACCCCTCAGAGAACATAATTAATTAAAAAAAAAGTATTCTAAACAGAAAAAGTTACAGCATGATCACTAGCACAAATCAGTTACACCAGTACGTTACATTACTTTGCTACACAATACACAAACGTTCACACACAGAGGACACAATCTGATAACGGAGCATCTATATAACTGCCACAAATAACCTGACAATGTCTGAGGTTCTGTCTGTTATTTCATCATCACTGTTATTTTGGTAGTTCTCTAAGGAACTTGACTATACTCCACACCAATATTTTAATTTCTCTTTTTGCTACAATACAGGTAGGAAATAATATTTTTTCCCCCTGAAGTTGTTATAAAACTATAGCCAGAAAGAAGGGAAATGTTAGGTTTTTACCTCACGGAAGGAATATGAATTGCACAACACAAAGATATCCAGCTAAACAGAAAAGAAAATAGGAGAGGGAGAAAAACCAAGGGAGGGGTTACTTACTTACTTTTAGTACCAATAACAGTATTGCCTTTCTAGTTTAAATTAGGGTTCAATGCAGAATCACTAAATCAGTTCTCTTACCTTCGTATGACTGATTGATTTCTGGGGGGTCCACATTTGGTAACTGATTGTAGTTTTGCTTTTCGTGTGTGCCAGGTTACCTATGGGAAGATGAAAGAAAGCGACCTACCAAAATGCTTACATCTCATCTACACTAAAAACTATGCTGAACCACCTTATTCATAAGTGTAACCATATAATTATAAAGGTCATTGACTTTTTTGGAGTACGTCCTTATTTCCCCCTTCACCCTTAGGATGGAACAAGCTCTGAAGAAGTTGCATGAAGATGGAACATGGGCTGAATTTTCCTCCTTCAGCACTTATGTCACCTACTAGAGCAAAAAAATAAACAGACTGCTGCAGAAGGTAAGAAAGATACATCTTAGAGCATACATGTGGTTTTACCCTAAGGATGTTATTGTACTATTTGAGTTCTAAGGGTACATATATATTAGTTAAAAAAAAAAAAAGTGCTAGCACCCTTCTCTGGCCCTGGGGGCAAGTGACATGGCATGACTCAAATCTATACAACCAAACTCTGTACTTCACTACTCTTTAATCTCCTGGTAAAAATAAGGTTGTATTTTTCCACAGAGCTTGTTGGAAACCATCGCTGGCCTGTGCTTTCTCTTGAAGTGTGCCTGGGTATGTCTGGGAGACTGCTAGCTGACACGGTCCAAAACTGTCCCAGGGAGGCATGCTAACAATTAATCAGAATGGGCAATCCTGTGGGAGTGTTTCAGCTACTGTTCACTGGCCCTGTTTGGTTTACTAGCACAGACATAGTCTTAAGACTCTAACCTTCAAATTCTTAATCAAGTAATACCTTTATTATGATGACTTGAAGGACTAGATGCATTGGAGTGGTTTACACAGACACTGGTCTTCTAAAAGAATAATGAGAATTCTGCTGAGCTTTCCGTCATGTCACTCTATGTTGATAAACCCCAACCATTGCTGCACGCTGCCATTGCTTCTGCTAATAACACCTCTGGAATCTCACTCTCCACTGGGACGGCCTGTAATCTCTCTGTGCTCAGCTACTATCAGTAAGAGGTGGATAAGAGTTGGATAAACAGCTGCAAATATACGGCACGACAAGCTAATGCGTCATGTATTACGTGATAATATCAAGCGCTAAACTTCCCTTGGGCTTAGCTGAATATCACAGGGTGGGAAGGAAAGAGAGAGGATTACTCACACCTAACTTTAGCTATCTGAAAGTGAGGCGTCTACAGGATCCCCACTGTATTCAGTGGAGAGAGGCACCTTCAGAGGAGATTTATCCCATCCTAAGAGAAACACCTGAGATATAGGCAAGATAGGTTGGACTCTGGGTAAACCTCTACATTTCCACTGATTCTAGATGAATAACTTAGATCAGAAATCTAACTTTTAGTTGGCTATAGCTGGATGGTTTGGGTCAGTTTTGAAAGGCTACACACAGTGTTTCATAATATTTAACATGAAGAGTATAACAACCTTCAGAGTTATTTCGGAAAACATCATTACATAAGATTTGGGATCAGTTCTTGGGACCATTTGGGCCCTGACTTTGGCTCTACAGAAATTATAGTTTAGTGTCTTAGCAGATATCAACAAGTCAAAAAATTCAGGCAAGGACACTGAGCTCAGTGTTTTCCCAGGAACACTGACTTAAAATAGACCTTCAAGACCAAATCTTGCATTCCACCAGCAAAGCTCCCTTTGTGAAGAATAGGAGCCCTGCCAAAACCTCAGTTTCTGTAAGCTATGATAACATTTTAGAGAAATTTCCATTAGGCTCTTCCAATTTAGCTTTTCTGTTCCACTACAAGTACATCTCCCATGTAGTTGTACAAGAAAGTAATGTTGTAAAGTACCTACTGTATGGCATCAATGCCATCACGCACGGAGTAATACAACACAATAGCAAACTGGTTGTAAGGAGACTTACCCATTATCCTAAAATGGCAGGTAGGACACTGTGCAAGGACCCGGTTCAACTAAGGTGAAACTTAGGAGTAATTTCTGTAGAGCCAGTCATATTCCTCTACCCCAACTTATGAACTCCCTGAGGAAGGGCTCACTACTAGGATCCCATCAGTTACCTTACCTAAAAGACTGGGGAAATAGAGGAGTGTCTCTTCGCTCTTTGCAGCAGATGTTAGGAGCCCCAACCTTGCTTCTCTACTACTTTAGAGAAAAATTGCACTGAGACAAAACAGGCAATTTATATATGCCCTGTCCAAAAAAGGCCAGTGACTTACCTGATCCTTTCTGTTCAGTCCTCAACTCAAGGGATGCACTCCACTCCCTGTCTTGCTCCCCCACCCTGAAGAGAGGACCCTGAAAGAAGTCTCTACCACTTCCTTGGCACTTGACCAGACCAATCCCTCCCCTGCAGCTTGAGATGGCTGGGGCTCCATTCTGTATAGATTCTAGGGTTGGAAAGTTAAGCCAGAAAGTGTATAATGTCATCAACAAATGGTCATATGAAACTGCATATTGGCAATTGAAGTATCTCTAAAAATTCCAGGAATGGTGTACCTAACTCAAAATGTACCTCTAGGGCTCTATCTCAATGATGTTGTAAAGGACCCACAAGAAATGGTCATCATGAAGGCTAGAGAAGAATAAGAAGATTACCACAATAGCAATACCTGTTTTTGTAAGAGGATGGGTTACCAACTGTCGCGTCAGATTGTTTTCAGATGATCGCAGTAGCAGCACAATATCAGCTGGCAGAGTATCTCTATTTTTGGCTAGGAATCCGCTTGCATTATATAGAACCTGTTTAAAAAGTGCTTTTATGCATCTTCTGGGCTTTTGAAAAGCAATTGTAAATTTAAGCATTCTGGCATGTGGCTTTTAATATATCAAGATACACAAATAGTTTTTCAGCCATTGGGCTCGCTCTTGCTTACAGTCTTTCTTTTGACCACTGAAAGTTCTTACTTTTCAATACTGAGAACCGTTATGATGCAGATCACCAAAAGCAAATCCATCATTCCAAAGTAGCTTGACATTTATTTTCCCTAATGCAGATATGTTAATATTAGTTTTAGCCACTGTGGATTTATCACTAAGACAAGTGTATTGTAATCCTCCTTTACACAGGAGTCATGTGTAAATGCACAATTAACAATGCACTTGATTTCAACCATATCACACAGGATTACCCATATGACTGTACAATCTTTCTGTCCCATTCATGTCGTGCTGTACTGGACCCAGGACTTACCACTCTTCCTAGAGATCTCTGTATTAATTGTAGAGGAAGTCTGCAAAATCACAAACTGCATATTGGCAATTGAAATATCTCTAAAAATTCCAGGAATGGTGTACCTAACTCAAAATGTACCTCTAGGGCTCTATCTCAATGATGTTGTAAAGGACCCACAAGAAAACCTGGCCTATGAAGAAGGGTAGAAGATACTGGCATATTTAATTTAGAAAAAACCCTCACAAAACAACCCTTCAATTGTAACGGAAATAACAGCCTTCAATTACAAAAAAGGCTTGTAAAGGAAGAGGAAATAAATTGTTCTCCAGTTCCACAGTAAACAGGACTAGGAGTAATGAACTTACATCACAGAAATGGAGGTATAAGTTAGACAGTAAGAGAAACTTCCTAATGAAAAAGCTTGTTGAACACTGGAAAGGGCCGATGGGGCATTGGTGGAATCCTCATCTTCAGTGGCTGGTATCAGGAATGGTACAGGGAGAGCTGGCTCTGTGCTCCTCAGCAGTGAGATATGCTATGCCCGTGAAGTGTAATCCAGCTGGAGATGAGGTTCAGAGGAGTTACTGCAGGCCTTTTGTAGCTGGCTGACTTACACAAGGGGCAAGTTATCTTCCATCGGCTGATGGGCAGTATGTTGCCTCTTTCCAGGCCAGCTGCTCCAGCACTGCACAGACCCAACATAGTTTCCTATGTGAGACAGCAATGCCCACTCCATACCCTTTAAAAGAGCTCAAAAGGAGGTGGGAGCTCCTGCTTTCACGAGGCAAGGTTCAGGTAACCAGTGGCATCTTGCTGCAGTGCGTCAGCAGCTCCTCCTGAGTTTGAAAGTCATGTGCAGCAAGTCACCTTGTACAGGAGGGCAAGACGCTGCTCATCAGATGAAGCAGAAAGCAGGGCATGCACTATCTATCTGGCTGATGACAAAGTACAGAACTAAGTGAGGATGATGGGGTGTAGGAGGTAGTAGAAAGAATGGAGCTGAATCCTGATTTGAAGCAGTAGGAACAGGCATGGCACAGGACTTTGAGGAACTAAGGGGAAAAGCACTGAGTTGCATTACAGTAACGGTTATGTTTTGGTTCTTCTATAATACAGTCAGCTCATTTACCTGCTGACATTTAAGAAAAATACACTCCTGCTATTGTTTTTTTTTATGAGGGAAAATAACTTTTCAGTTTACTTTTGATGTGTAAGGCACTGCCAGCATTTCCATGTCAGGCCTGAATAGATGAAGGTTGAGAACCAACCCAGCTGACCTCTTCTATTTCCTTCCAGCCCTGCCATTCCACAATCCCCAACTAATATCATTAGGTCTCTTACCTTTCCTGCATAATGATAAATCCCAAAGGTTAGATCTACTCTTTTGGGTCTCCAAAAATATTTTGACTTCAAATTATCTTCAAACTTTTCTGAAAGGAAACACATATCTTGTCTTACTGGAGTTACTGTACAATAATTGTCTTCTGAAGCTGTATCCCTCTAAGGATATTGCCTGACTTGTCAGACAATGCAGAGGCACAAAACAGACTCTGATGTTTTTAAGGACGAAGATACCATAATGGTCTTGTAACAAAAGGCACTGGATAGCGAATATGGGAGCTTTTGGATCAGTTACTTAGTTTGTACCAATTTTTTTCTGTGTGACCTCAGAAAATTGCTTGCCTTTCTAAGCTTTTGATCTTCATATAGGAAACAATGTAGTAATCCTTCCTAAGGATTCCTTGGGGAATTGTGAGGAAACATTTACCACTTGATTGAGGCCTCTGTAGTGTAAACTAAAAAGTATGAGGATAGAAAGACAACAAGCTCATATAATTGCTTTAGCATGGGCATCGTTACTGGATGTTATTAGGTTTTGTGATTGGGTGTTGGTTAAAACTCTCATCTGACACTCTGCACATTCAAAAATGAGTAAAACAAGGATTTATCTGCACAGAAACCCCACTGAAATAACTGAATCAACTGTAACTGCAACTACTTAGCAGCACTGAAATATTCAGGATCTGATTTACAACATATTTAGGTTTTTTAATTTCTGAATAGAAAAAAAAAGGAAGCATAATTTGCTGAAAGGCACTGAGGCAGGTTTGCAGCCAATACCCTTAAAAAGTACTAAAATTCTTGTTTGGATACGGCTCATCAAAAATCTCAGAGCTGAACATGAGTCAACTTTGAAAACAGTGTTCTTGGCATATGAACCTAGAGTTTTAACTCAGTTTGATCTTTATCTTTCAAGCCCTGCAGCTAAAAATTCCTGAAGGCAGGAGAATTCAAAACCTGGATCAGCAGCTTAGGTTCATTTGTACTCTTGATGTTTCTCTGTCAACTTCAAAGACACATCCATCCCTGCATGCATGCCTCCCTCTAACATACCGTGACACTGCAATGGGGGCTCACTGAAAACATAACTAGCACATAGCCTAATCTGGACATGCCAAACAGAAATCTAACAGGGAGACATCCTGCAAAACTGTGAAATAAACCATATACTTACCTACAAGTGTCTGATCTGTTGCTTGTGGGAATCGACTTTCCTCATCCAGAAGGGACAATAAACCCATTGGTTTCTGCAGGAACATATCTAAGAGGGGCCTGTTGTCCTCATACTCTATAACTCTTGCATCAACACCTTCATATAGGTATTCATTCTGTAACAAGCAACAGAAAGCATGTTTTGTCTATGTATACAAAACCACTTCAGAAAATAATTCACAAAACTACATTGAAAAAGTATGCCCTGGGGCTCAAGACATCAAGGTTTTGCAGGAACAAATGTCAGTTGTGATGTATCACACTGTCAGGCTATAGATTTTAATTTGCCTTTGGGTATGTAAGTGCTGCCTATGGTATATTTGGTAAAGTAAGATGCTTTCCAGGAATATGCAAGAAATAAAGAAACAGAGTTGAAGAAGATAAAGTATTGTGTTTGCAGATGGAGACCTCAGTGTCTGTTTACTTCCCTGGTCTGCAATGTAGAAAATATTTCTTAATAATTTAGAGCTACATTTACATTCCCAATTTGTTGCTCAGATCTATGTGAGGTACAGTGGCCAAGATTTACAAAAATGACTACAGATTACAGAGGCCTCGCTTGTTTGATACCCCTCCTCAAACACCTAGAAAACTTCTTATGTAGAGAAGAACGGTGCACACACATTCTAATAATGAAAGAATGGTGTACGTACTTTCTAAAAATTAAATAAATTGTCTCAGGTTGTTCTCTACAACATTTTCACTCCTTTTCAGGAACTAGGGAAAGGTATTCAGCAAGATTAAAAAACAATGGAAAAGCTGGCAAGGTTTTTTGTGGTTTTTTTTTTTTTTTCTCCTGAAGACTGCAAATATCTTTGGATTCCTACCAGACTGAGAAAAACCTGATAACAAATGTTGTTTTCACAGTGTGTTGCGATGGTTTTATCTTGAAAATAATTTAAATTATAGCTGAAGAATACAAGAATGACTTTCTTTAATCCTTCAGCAAGGCAGAGGACAGCTGTAGACTTACCAAGAGAAGGATGCTATAGGGACTGCCACCGCCCCATTATTTTTGCCTGCATTACGTAATGCAATAGCAGTTATCCACTGCACAGTGCTCCCATATATACCAGGGCAGTCTTCAGTCCTGTGCAGGCTATACTATGAAACATGTAATTAAGCCTTTTGATCTACTTTAAAAATCATCCCTCTTCCAAAGGATAGGACTTTATAAAAGTGTTGTATTAATGTATGGTGTTAACATCACAGTTGTGCTATCCTGAATTCATTGTGAGAAGACTGTCATAAACATGAATGATGGCTAATATTAACAAGTTCAAAGACCTCTAACCCTGAAAGACCTCTCCTTATGTGTCATTCACTTGAGTCTGAATGAGTGAAGAAGGCAATATATTGAGCGTTTCGAAAAGGAGTTAATAACTGCCATATACAACAGAAAAGCAGATGTTATTAGACTTCATACCTCTTAATCTCTAAGCCAGAGAGAAACAGCAAAATGAATAAAATCAATAATGCTGTCCCAGAAATACAGACCCAAATAAATAAATCTGCTGATCCATTTGAAAGGGAAGACAGAATGTATACCTAAACCCTTCCAGTATCCAGATTGATCTAATTTCCCAGGACACTCTTCACTCTAAGGATAGGTTATGGCTCAGTTTATATGCCCGTACAAGGGTGTAAGCAGTAAGAATTACTCCTACAGCCCCATGAGGGCTCCTCATCTCAGACACGTAACATCATTAGCTTCATTCATGTCTCCCTCGGAGCAGTGGACAGGTGGAGTTTTGGGTTTTATTTTAATCAATGACCTGAGTAGCAGGACAAGACAAGGAGAGTAATAAATGTATCACTGATATAGGCAAGAAGTTAATCATATACCTGTAGGAGCTAGTGGCAAAGATAACACCAGAGTAGAGGCAGCTTAACCGAGGGCTACGGCTGTACCGACACACAGATGTTACTGTGTGGAAACCAGCTGTTACTGCTTAGGATTATCAAGAGTACCCTTATCAAGGGGGAAAAGGGAAGAGATTGCTCAGGATGAATCTACCAGAGAAGAGTGTTTCTGTGACACTCAGACATGCTCAAACAAGCTCTCACAGACAACCTATCTAATGATTAACTTTTTCCAACTTCAAATGCTTGTGAGAGAGGCTGGTTTAGAGAGCTGATAAAAGAGTTGTCCTGGAAACTGAAAGGAGGTCTGTAATAGCTGTACTACTACACCGTAACAGCAACATCTGCTCCCCTCCCTGCCTGGCCAGTGCGCAGGGCCTGACCTCCAAGCCTGCAGAATATGTGACCATTCGGTCTTTTGCGTCTGCACCTCGACAACTGAGTGAGTGTCAGCACCGATGGTTTCGGTAACGCTGCCGTCTGCCCAGTAGGATATGGAAGGAGTTCACTCCATCACTTCCCATGGGCTCCTGGAGGACAGCGGATAACCAAGTCTCCCAGGCACCACTGTGACAGATGGCTTAGAAATAAGATACCATATTACATTTTCTTATGCAATGCTGGTCTTCAACCATATTATTAGGATACAAGCAGCAAGGATAAAAGCCTTAACGATGCACATCATAAAACTGTAATGAAATAGATCTTATTTGAGTTAATAAGCTGAATCAGCTACAGGATTCTGTAATCCCCCATGATGTTTTATGACAAGAAAGCTCCTTAAAATAGCAGCTGCTCATTGAAATGCTAAAGCATAATCCACTAGAAAGTATTCCTATGGGTGGGAATGACTGAGTTGCACTAATACTTGGGCTCCTATCTCATCTCAGTATTGCATGGTATCTTTTCTGTGATCAAAACTTGGTAATATTAGCTTGTGCAATCTGGTTTCACTTAATAACAAAAGAATTATTAAATGCATTAGGAAATGGTCTTCATGTTTAATAGAAGTAATGGCATTTTGCCGAGAACATGGTATGATGACACTTTGGTTTAAATGGGAACACCGGAGACTTATTCAGAATGAACCTTTTCCAGCTTAAAGTAGAAGATTAAATTGTCATAAGAATGTAAAATAAACATTGCATATATTTAATGCAAAACTGACAGTAAACTTGCCACTTTCCAAAATGTTTTAAGTATTTGACATTACACCTTTGACTTTTTACGGAAGAATCACAAATGAGAAAGAAATGGGAAGGTTGTCTTGCTGGACAATGTTACCTTCAGGTCATGGAGCTCACAGAATTAACTTACATCAGTACCTTACATGTAAGGGAAACACCTTGAAAGACAGGACTGAAGGTGCAAAAGTTGTGCTTTGCTTAATATTAACCTAAAAAAAGCTTGTGCCAGCATTCATTCCAATTAACTGTAGACACATAAAAGAAGTGACTGAGAGCCCACATTTCCTCCCCAGTCAGTGGAGACAGAGATGTACCTATTTGTCTCCACTGACTATCGGGAATCTAAACTATCTTTATCTTAAACTGTACTCCCCACTTCAGCCTTTCTGTTAAATTAGGGAAAGGAGACTGCGTTAAGGCCTAAAAGCCTTTATTCTTAAATGCAAACATTAAGTCAACAATAAAGAATAAATTCCCTTAATTTTGACTTGAGTTCTCCATGTTGGCACGCAGACACTGCTCTAGCAGACATCCTGAGCCTTGGATGGTGATAGTACCACTGTTCCTTCTTACTATTCCTATAATTTCTGAGGCCATATTTTTGTAGGCCACACTTCCGAGGAAAGCAAAACTGTGAACGCTTTTCAGATTCAGATACAGAAAAGAAACCTCTGACAATGCTAAAAACATGTCACCTGCAACACTGAAAGTACAATTCAGCCTTATGAGTTCATTTACTATTTGGCTTCATTGCTCAAGTTGCCAAAAAATGATTCACCTTCCCTAGTTATATAATCACTACTTATTAGGTGGACATGGGTGAATTGAGAACTAGACTATAATCAACTGATTTAGGCCTTGACTTCCCACTAGATATGTCAAATTTCATCTAATTGCATGCAGTATGGAATTGAACAGGGCAAAACAGGGAAAGAAATGAAGAAATAATGTACCTATAAGTTTTACTTCTCTTGAGGGAAGTGTGAAAGAAATGAAATTCTGCAGTCTTCCTTGGGTAGGTCTACTGGGTGCAATGCAGTGTCATGTTAGAGATTTCTGAGATAGGAGAGAGCAATCTGACATGTCTGTCTGGCATTGCACAGGGCTGTGGAGAGATATTAGCCTGGGTCCCCAGCAACAGGATAGCTCCATCAGCATGACAGTCAGCTTGGGCTAATGAAAAGTCAATGCAAAGGTCTCGTGATTGCTGGCATCAGCCTTCTCCTAAACATAACTCCTGTCTTTTAGTATTAAAGACACAAACCCTTACATGTGTATAAAGTCAGGCAGACACATCAGCAAAGGGCAGGGGTCATCCTATTGTTTGGCTTTTACAGAAGTGATACTTTGCATTATTAACAAGAACAATTTCAGTCACATGATTTTGAAAATATTTCCTTTTTTTCCACGTATAGAAAATTTAGTAATTATATTTTATATTTTCCTGCAAATAGCTTTCTCTTATTTGTCTGCAGGGAGGGCCTGTATTTACAATTAAAGTACATTACTGGTGTTAACACAGGGGAGTCTAAATCTGACAACAGGAGGATGACTGCAAGGTTACAGCACATCACATATGCCTTTCCTTTTCCTACGAGCCCACCAAAGAAACAGACTGTAGGCATAAAGATGTATATATTCCAAACAATCAAAACCAGATAATCACCTTGCCTAAAGATTACGGGGGCTGAAGTAAGGAAGGTTCTGAGACAAAGAACCACTCCATAACAATCACATGGTGATTGCTAAAGGGTGTAAAAGATCTGTCCAAAAACTATTTCAGCAAGAACAACCTAAGAGACATGATGAAGACTTGCTAGCTGGTGTCCCTTATTCTTTGTGTCGCTCACAAGTGATCCTGGCCAGACCACTTGAACACACACATCCTGGTGCTTTCTACGTGGGTGTGAGTCAATGAAATCTATGAGAGAATGAGTGGGAGTGGGTAAAATTGACATACTTAGAGATTCTGTAAATAAAGATCACCTTCCCCTTCCATAAGGTCTGTAATTGTCGTACTAATTTCCTACAAGGAGAAATGGGTAAACCGTATCTTGTCAAAATCAATTCATTTCTTCCCTAATACGCTCAGTAGCAAAATAACCACCCTGCCCTCTCTGCAGCAGGGCATGTGCAGGAGAGCAAACTGTTCCTACTAGATGGTAACACCACAAACCTTTATATTAATATAGGTCTGGCCAAAATGTTCTGTATTAGGATATCTAGAAACGAGTGAAGGCAGATTACACTGAACAGGACCCAAGTCTAATCAAAAAAGAGAAGGAATATTAAGACAATATTTGGGTATACAGGGATAGGGTTAGGAAAGCCAAGGGTTAAGAAAGCCAAGGCAGGTCCATCAGCAGCAAAAAGGCAACTAGGGAAAACGTGGGCCTGCTGCTGAGCGCGCATGGATGACATGGAAAAGGCTGAGATACTCGATGCCTTGAAGAAGGCCTTGACTGGTAATCCCAGGTCCCTGAGACCAGAGGGAAAGTCCGGAGCAAGGAAGACTTACCCTCGGTGGGGGAGGATCAAGTTAGGGAACATTTGAGCAAAGTGGACGTACGCAAGTCCATGGGACCTGGTCAGTGCCTGGATTTGACAGGAATAAATAATGGTGCTGCAGTCTGTGCTATTTCCATCTTCCAGCTGTTAGAAACAGCAGTACCCAAGTGTTCTTTTTGTGTGAATTTATGCACTTTGGAAAGAAGATGCCTAAGGAATTATGGTAGTTCAGGCCAATTTCTCTCTGACTTTTAGATGGTATTAAAGGCAAGGAAATACTTGTGACTGAGAATCTCCCACATAAATCTATAAAAACAACTACAAGGTCTAAGACTGCAAGACAGCATTTCCTGAAATAATCGGAAACAGGACAAAACATTGATCCATATAAAAAAAATTGCCATTTTACACATAGATATATATACCTCTATTCTGACACATGCATGTACACACCTGCATACACAGACACATTCCAAACTTGTATGTGTCTCATCCTTAAAACAAGCAGTGATTAACACTGACAAAATACTCTTTTTCTACTAATAATTGAAGTTAGTATTCAGGAGGATTTTCATCTATGTATCATAAACCCCAATAATTTCAATAAAACAGAGAAAGTATTATTTCACCTAAAATTCGAATATTGACTGTTCTGCTCATGCAGAATTCTGGAATATTTCTATTTTCAGCAAGATTAATATTTTTTCCCTGGACATGTTATTTCTTCAGATAACAATATTGATTAATGATTTAAAGATGGTTAATTTAATTCTCATGGAATTATGTACAAATTTGAGATGATCTTTTTTGAGGTTTTTCACTCTCCTCTTCAATTTCATAAACTTTTATAATTACAAGCATATTCCTTTTCTCTGTTTTACATCAAATTATTTAGATTAAATCCATCATTATTTAGCTTAGATGATCTAGTTCCTGAAAAAGAACAAAATAATTGTGAGACTTTCAGTTTTTAATAATGGAATTTCAGTGTTCATTAAGCTTATTAGTAAGCTATTATGAACACTGCACTTTAAAAATTATGTTACTAATTTATTTTTTTATTGTAGAATCATACATTACATCACTCAGGTTATTCCTCAAGAAAACAGCATTGCATTTGCATCAAACCAATTATCAGTGTGTTATGTTGCTTAGATACTGTAAATTTCAAGTTTAATGCATTTTATGTAGGCATTTTACTTGCAAATAGCAAGCGCTGCTTCACAGAATACATACTCAGAAAACATTTGTTATAATCTGCAATTTACAACCTATTATGGAGAAGGAACAATGTAGTTTCTTGAGACAAGGTTTTATATGTTCAGCAATATTAAAGCTTTATTAAAATATTCAACTCATACCTGTTCCCAGGCAAAAACGTGTTGATTGAAGTAGAACTGAATTTGTTCATTGGCAATGTTGATACAAAGTTGTTCAAAAGAATTTTTTTTGAAATTCTCAAAGCCAAAGATATCAAGAATTCCAATGTTCAAACCATCATCGTTTCCACTGCAAAGATTAAATAAACTTTCTATTGTTGTATCTTTATTTTAGATGGACTAACTTCATTATTAATTCACAAAAGGAAATAATGGGCCAAATCTGTATGCCAGTTAAACAGGATAATTTTTGCTAAACCAGATATCTCTTAAAATAACAATCAATTTTTGTATGAAATACAATAAATGCATATCAATTCAAAGATGACTGTATTTGCAGGTCAGATAGATACACTGAGTCACATAATGATCGAGTCAATTGGTAAGCATATAGAGGATTTACAATTTTATTTTTAAACTAATATTTGCTAAAAGCTGACCACAGTACAGAAACAGCATGCAGTTCTTTTTGTTTCTCTTGTAATAAAACAGGCTTTACTCACCAGCATCTTGAAATTAGATTGCTGTCATTAAATATTATTTCTTCATATTAATTATTCACAACAATTAAAACTGCTTATTTTAACACGAAAGTCAAAAGAACGAGTAGCTAGACATTTTATGCATCTAAATAACTACTTTAATGCTGGAGTGTGGTATGAATTTAAATTACCTATTAAGTTCCAGAGAAGTACTACTAGTAAAAACTTCAGTCTGAAATTTTAGCTAAGGCATTCTGAGAGATACGTGGTCATTTCTGCAACTGGAAAAAAGCTCTAATATTTGTATTTATTTGCTGAAACAAAAAATTAAGAGGATATAATTTTATATCAAACTGAAGTTGACATTAGTGTCTTTTCCTAGCTAAATTAAAAAAATAAATCACATTCCATCTATAAAACCCCTTTGAGGGGCTATCTGTAACCAATTTTTTTTTTAATAAAAAGTTTGGGAAATCGGATATGAAGAAACGGCCTCATGCATAGCACTCGATCCTCTTTGTGAAGTCCATCTCAAAAATGGAAGTGTTTCACTGTGGAGGGATCAAAGGTATTTGTTGATTTTGACCTGAATTTGGTGACTGTTTTATCTGTCTGGAAATTACATTTTTGGTGAATAGACTGCTGAAATTTGTCTGCCCCGTTACTTCTCAGAGCTAATTACATAAAAATAGCAAATACAAATGATATTACTACCACAAAACCAAAGCAGTCTTCTGGGTTTTTTTTTATATAGTGAACATTTCAGGTCGAACTTTCTCCCTCCTCACCAGCATAATAAGTATTCAATTTGAAAAGGGCTCTGTAACAGGCATGTGAGAGAGGCACACAGGCTAGCAGTGCTGCCCCATCTATCATGAATTTTATCCTATCACTTACTGATTAAAGTTCTGTTTATTACTGCTCTGCTGTAAACAAATATTTGAAAGTTTAGACAAACTTTAGGATTGCAGCCTTGGCTTTCCTCCGATGTTTAAAAAAAAAAATCCAGAAAATCCAGATTTGCAAACCAAAGCTATTTATTATTAATATTCCTCTTCAGGTAGTTATCAGTGCCCCTTTTCACTGCTATTATCAGCCACAGAGGGCCCTGACCTGTAGGATCTACAATGCAAGCCACATTATTTCTTCTTTGATTAATTTGCAAAATGTGTTATATCCTCATTCCCAATATCTTTCTTGTCTCTGTGTTTAAAACGTCACCTTGTAACGGTAGGGTGGACATTAACCTCAGTAAATGTGTTTGGAAACTACTCTGACATATATATGAAACCACACTCATAACAGCAGCGACAGAAGCAATAGCATCAGTGCAAATAAGAGCAGAATTTGACCTATGCAACCAACAGATGATTGTCAAAAGTTGACCCTGAAAAAGTATAAAGGAAGAAGTAGTTAGTATGCAATTTACAAAGGGTTAAATGAGTAAAGGTCAAACAGGAAAACAGCAGACGCCTGTGCTGTCCATATATACTGTATTTTCACTGCATACTATGAACAGGATAAAACCTTCTTTTTTTAACATGATGGTGTCATAAACAAAAAAGTAGCAGAGAAAAAGTAGGTGAGAACACTAAATGCTGTAGCGTAGATGATATTATTCCTACAGAAAATCCCTCTTTATTCTGGAAAAGCTTCTTTTACCTTAAATGTTTGTCAGGTTTGAGTAAAGTGTTGATGCGATTGACTATCCAGCTAAAGAGGCGCCCATACAATGCTTTGGCCATGGCGTCTCTGACATCAGTGGCTTTTTCCACAGTGTTGGGACGAATAATTGTTTCTCCTCGAGTCACTACACAGTGAGAAGTGAGGGCCTCTTGCAGTTCATCTGCCTGAATACACAGCAAGGACGCACCTAGGAAGGAAGGTCACAGGCATAGCTCAGAGGCAGATTTTGGAAGGAAAGATATGCATTTTTGCAATCAAAGCTGCAAGTGCAACGTATAATAAGGGCTAAATCAAAGTCTTGAACTATGACTAATGAGGGTGTTCACACCAAACAACTGTCAGTATCTAATTTAGTCACCAACCTTCCTAGCTACCACTGCAGTCAATGAGTAAGTGATTCAAAGCAGAGGCCTTTAGGTTCTAAATTGCTTTATCAAGGAGGTTCTTTCTCCAAACTGTCTACAGAGAAATGCTAGGGAATCTAGGTGACTATGTCAGGAGTATGTAAGTTGTGAGGTGTGAATATCCCTCTCAATTATAATCCATCCATATAAGCTGCTGCTGTCCTCCTTTTGCTCCAAAAAAGGGGTGCTTCTTTCCCAGTTCCACAATATTTTTCTATCTACGGCAGGAAAACATGTAAGAACATAGCATGAAGACTTCATTATCTTCCCACCTGTAATTACTGAGAAAGAGTAGCAACTTTCTTGAGAATCTTTGCCCCTTTCCCTCCTCTGCCTCCTGGCAGCCTGTAAAGTAAGGTATCCCTTCCAAAGAATTAGTGAGCCATATTTCAACAGGCACATGTGGGGAACAAGTAACGAGCATCCGAGAAAGAAACTGGGAAAAAACTATTCAATGTGTTAATGAGGTCCTCCATCAAGTGTTCAAATAACCTTGGAAAAATTCCAAAGATTTTCTTTTCAGGCATCTGCAGTATTAGTCATGTTTCCTGAATGTCAGTGAACTGGTTAGTCAAATAAAGCGCATAACATGGAAGATTTTTTCTTTTTGCATTTGAATTCAGGTGGACTTGGAATTAATCTATCTTCAGCATTTAATTATTCTTGCAAAATTTCCATGTGAATACAGTTTTCATTGATAACTCTCTTGCAATAAAAGAAATTAGCTATCAAAACACTAAAGGAAAACAGTCTTAAATCAAGAAAAAATACTCACAATTCTCAAGGGCTACTGGATTGGAAATGTTGCTCTTGTCAATCATATGTTCAGATACCACTGCAGAAAATTCAATGTTACCCACATTTAAAATGGCAGCCAGGACACTGTACACACTTCCAAGTTCCTGAAAAGTATATTAAAAAAGATGCAATACTTAACAGCCGGATAGATTTGTCACTTTGGTTTGTGTGATGGGCACGTGTGTGTGCTGTTTCCTGTTGTCTGCCACACGCCCCCTACTTTTAGGAATACTGTTCTCAGCAGTTATTCCCTGTTCTGTACTCAGCATAGTCTTTCAAGTGTAAGACGCCCAAAGAGGGCAAGACAACCTATAGCCTAATCTCTCTTCCATACTTTTTGACAGGACAGGATTGACATGGAGTAGGAGAAGCACAAAACAGTGGTGAACATAATCCGCTTACGCAGAAAGAATTCAGAGGTTATTTATACCTACCGTTCACTGTGTCTGCAGGCACCACTGTGTCTAAAAATGTAATACCTAGATCAACAAAAATACAAAAAAATCTGCATCTATGTTTCTTGGATCACGGAAACAAAGGTACTCCAAAAAATAGGTCTGCAACGGCTCCCACCGACATCATCAGAAAAAGTTTCACTGGGAGAAGAGTGAGACCTCACATCTGATTTGGCAAAGCACTTTACCCTTCGAAATGTCAGTTAGGAACTGTGTACTCACCAAAGCACTTTAGTATGGACTTTACTTGAACGTATTTAAATCTCAAATGATTTAGTAGGTTCTGAAGGGGATTCTGCCTTGAAAAAGGCTAATATTAGTCTGGACAGTGAAGTGATTCAGTAAATTATTTTAAGTACTTTTATATGACAAATAAAGTCATATTTGCAATTAATGAAACAATGTTTTCATTGCAGGTTTGACTTAGATTTGAACTGTGAATTTTCACCTGAACTGTGAACGTTTATCAGTATACTTGATCATCTCTGAGTATTTTCTACTCAGAAATGCTGAGGTGTTCTTGTAAAGCAGACTAGGTTTTAAGCTAGGAATCTGTGATAAGACATATTCTGAGGCACACAGTAATAGTGTATTTTATAAATAGCAGTTTTATAAGTTTTATAGTAGTTTTATAAGAAGCAGTTTTGTAAATTTGATTGGTATTTTATAACAATGGACTTTTCATAACTGCACAGCATTTTATCCCTAATATTCAATAGTTTGCTGGTACCATGTCAGGCATCATTTACTCAGATAATGTCCTTAATTGCTCTAGAAAACTTGATCTTGTTTTCAACACTTTCAGAAGTTAATCTAGCAATTAATAAATTAATTATTCCAGTGACAGCAGGACAAACCAGATAAGCTCACTCTAAAAAATTTTGCTCAGGATAACTGGCACACAGTTTACCTAGGTTTTAAGCAATCATTTTCATTTTAAGCTTAGGGACACAGATGAAATGCAAAGAAATGGATAGCTTAACATCTGCCATTATGCTGTACAGTATGTATAGCTGCTGACATTTTTGTGCCCAGTATGTTTGAAATCTGGCTTGATCTGTCTCATACAGCATGATTATTGTTCACCTCAGGCAGTCCTTTCCTATTAATTTGGCCATGCAGCCTGAAATAAAACAGTGTGATTTTAAGACAGGGAGTACTGACAGTAGTTACTATTAAAGCCTGCCAGTTAGTTAAAAACAAATTTCAAAGAAATAAAGCCTTGTTTAGGTCTCAGTTTTAATTGGAGTGGAGAAGATATTCTGTCCAAGGTTTTCTGCTAATAAAACACAGAACATGCTTATATAGAAACTCCTCTATGAACTGGGATGAATGTCAAAGCTTAAGGCTGCATTACTAAGAAGTGAACTTAGAAAAGCAACTCATTGTCTTACAGTATCTTTTTCTCACTGAAAATAAATTGTCTGTGCACACATATCCTATATCAGAACCTCAGTGGGGGAAGAGGACTTCTCTATTCCTTCACTCTTGCAAACACAGCCTCAGACAGGCTAATTCATCCTGTGGAGAATGTAGGACAGGCTAACATGGATGGGGCTCACATGTAACCACAGTTAGATTGCCTGTGGTACTCAACCTGCTTCTGAAACTGGGGGGGTTCTACAGGTAGATAATAAGTGAAGATCCATGCTCGAACTGCACAATGCGGCCAGTGACCTAGTTCTAACCGGATCTTCAATATGTAAGGAAGGTCTTCTCTTTTGGATGATCAGGATTATTGTTTCCATCCATCCAAGTGAACAAAAGAACCGGGAACAAAAACAGACTCGCTGCTTTTCATGGCATACATTAGGACTTATCAAGGTCTCTGGTGCTGTGACAAAACTGCTATCAGTGCTGAACTGTGCATATCCTTCCACGCTGCTTCTGGAAAGGTAAAAGTACAGACGTGAAAGGATGTGATAGCACAGGTGTGATATTACTAAGTGCAGTTGTGAATAAGCATGTAGAGGAGAAAGAGACTGTGAACCCCACTGCTACTATGACTTAATGCAAAATGAGTACGGAGGAACAGAATAGGTGAATAAATCTGTTCTGCTAGCTATTCAAATATTTACATTGAGGGAAGCCGGAAATATTCAACTGCAGTGAGTAATTTTCTGTGAAAAGCTCCTTACAACATGCAGTTTTGTCAAAGAAATGAAAACACACATCCATTCTGCAGCACTAGTGCTATATTTCACAGATACTATACGGATCATACTCCTACTGTTGTTTGTGATAAATAAAGTCAGTGGTAAACTACAGCTGTGATGTACCACTTCTCCTAAGAAGAGAGAACTAGGGTGCAGGATGGGGTTTCCTTCCCTTGCATCCTCCTTGATAAATCCAGAGGCCTGTTCTTATTTTAATTATACCAAAGACAGCCTGAGGAGAGGGTTTTAATGGCCAGCAGAGCAATGATATGAGATCATAAAGAAAGAATGGGTTCAGTTAATGTTTAGTGATGAGATTCACTCCAAAGGGATGTAAAAACTTCATTCACCTTTACCCCTGGAGTTGTGAAAATGTATTGAGTTCATCAAAACTCAGATCAACTCAATGAATTTTTAGAACTCTCACCCTGGACTTCAAATTAAAACAGAGATGAGGCTTATATTCACAGGCCTAAAATTATAGGCTAATAAATAGTTACAACATCATTTGCTATGCATTTAATTTGCAAAAGCCTTTTTTCCCAATTACTCAGCTGTGCTGTGTTCACTCATTTCAAAGTCTTGTTGACTAATACCATTTTATTAGTTTATCAATGCCTTGAAACCTTAAAAATTTAAATGTGGTAATATAACAGTAAGCTGACCATGCAATATCCTAAAACATAAACACACTACTGCTAAAGGAAGAAAATAACAAGGGAGATTATTTGAAGGCTTTATATAAGTTTTTCCTGATTAAGGTAGCCATTAAAGTTCATGAAAAAAAAAGGGTTATCAGCACTCACCTCTAGCGTAAAACCTATGACTTTGAAGCACTGTTCAATTAATTCAAACTGAGACTTATAAAAGCTATTGTTCATGAAATCTTGCACTATTCTGAAATGATCGTTTTGCAGATATCTGAAAGAGTTGATGGATACAGAGTTAGAATGTAAATGAGGTTGAGAATTCAAGAACACTGCATTTCTTAGTAATCAGTTTATGTAAAAATAAACTGCGTTACCTGGGAGGTCTATATTCTGGCAGTTTATAATGTGCCAGTTTTTTCTTTTCCGCCAGACCAGCATAAATATAATAAAAAATATGGAAATTTTTCTCTCCTCTGAAACAACAGAAACAACAAACTGGTTTAGTAATGTAACTATGTTACATTTACTGACGACATACATGCTATTATTAAACATTCTTTTAATGACAGGCAAGGCTCATGCAAACTGACAGAGGACTCTGAAAGAAGCTTTATTACACAAGTTCCTGTGAAGTGAACACCCTTTCTGTGCCATTGTGTGTTTGTTCTGAAGCTGCCAGGGCAGCTGCTCAGTAGCAGCAAAATGCTGCTCTGCCTTTGATGTAATTGGTCGATGCTGGGTGAGATCTTGCATGTTGTTCACCCACCCGCACTAAATTGGCTGCTTAACCTCCAATTATTTTAAAAAATCTTCTGACCGTGGGAGAGCTATACACTCTTGATTCACTGAATCCAGTATGTTCGCTGTGTCCTTCAGCCTTGAACCAAGAAAGCACATAAGCAGACATTCAGCAAAGGGCCTTATGACTTGGCATGCTTTGCCTAAAAGTTAGGTGCGCAAACCCAGGACAGAAGGTTTATTGCACATCCAAGGTTCCTGTGCACCTTATGAGGAAGAACTGGATGCTTAGGTGGAAATTTGCAACCACCATGGAACCCTGAGATGGCCAAATCAGGCACTATGAAATGGCAAAAAGGAATTGTGTTCAAACCCCTGGTTTCTGCATGAGCTGAGGTGTGTGTCTCAGGAGCACCACTACATTCTTCTGTGAAAAAGGATCAGAGTCCAGGGTACTCCTCTCTGCATGGGGGTGCCTAGATCAGAGTCCAGTGCCAACTTAGTTTGCATATTTTACTGTGGACAATCAGTAGTAGAAAACAAGATCAATTTAAGGAGTAGGAGCAGATCCCTTACCTTCCCCCTGAGTGTCTTAACCTCTACGTTGCATAGCCATGCTTTGCATGCTCTCTGAAACCTCACTGTGTCCTGACGGTTTGTGTATTCTCTTGGAAAGGGAGGGGAACCTGTAGGTTCAAAATCTCTTGGCTTGAAGTGGGTCTGGAACTTGGGTCTCCCATTTTCTGTGTAATCAGTCACTGGTTTTCTGCAAAAAGTAATTCCTAGCTCTCCATGTGAGTTTGGGCGTCATGTTCTCTCAGAAGAGCAGAACAGACTGCCCTTGCAATGCAGGTACCCGAATGCCAGTTCTCTGCCCTGGCACGGCAGAGACTCAGGCTAAACACATCGGTGGCATTTTCTTGTGAATTCAGACATCTAAACACCTACCTAAATAGCATTTGAGGCACGTAAATGCTTTGCCAACTTCCTGCCTCAGCATGTGGCTAAATATAAATACAAACTGACAGCCACAGAACAAAGCCATGAAAAGTTATGAAAAAAGTAGCATTTTATTCTAAAAAAGCAGTTTCTGTGCTTATGTTCAACTGGGGAAAAAAACACCATTTCATAAAATTGCCTCTAACTTTAAATTGTTTATTGAAACATTCCAAGTGATACTTAGATGTTCTTCATCTCACAAATCTACAACAGGCAACAAGGTCATGCAGAACTACAAAAAGAGTAGAAATGAGTAAGAGAACAGCAAGGGGAAATATTTAAATCAGCGACAACATTTCTTGTCTCAAACTCTGTTTTTCCTGTTGTTATTATGGCAGAAATAGAGCTGCCAAAACATTTTTTATCTGGATGTGCTATACATTAGGACAGAAAATACATGTCAATAATTTAAATTAATTGGAAATGCCACTTAATTTTTCCGTCATTTTATATTATGAGATACACATATGACAGAGATGGATCTGCATTTGGTCGTTAACCTTTTATAACCAAATCCTACTAGAAGCTCCAAAATGGAAAATGAGCACTTTGCAAACAAACAAACAAACAAACAAGCTATAATACTAGAGGAAATGTAAAGGAATTAAATCCAAGTGATATACTTAACACAATGCTTCAAACTTCCACGAAGAAATTTATAACTGAACTATTAGAAAGTTTTTTATTCTTTACACATTCTGATACACTTTATATATCACATATACATTTTTATGAGGTTTGTTTAAATAACCTAGGAGGCAATGAAAAAAAAAATCAGGAGTAGCTTTCAGCTCGCTTACAGATTTATAAGCTATCATTTATAAGAAAAAATCCCAGTACCTTATTCATCTTCATACTTTGATCCAAGATAATTTCCTGCATTGTAGGCCTACTCTGTAACCCCCAAATTAGGTCAAATATAATTTTTATACTTACACTGCCTGGTGGACCACTCTGGATTTTTCAAGGAGATACTCTGAAATCTGAGCTCCTACTACAGTGCCACCACAAGTAAATTTCATTTCCAAATATTTTCCAAATCTGCTTGAGTTATCATTGATGATAGTGCCTGCATTCCCAAATGCTTCTACAAGGTTATTCACCTGGAGGATCTTCTCCTGTAGAGTCCTGTTATTAGCCTGGATATGAAAAAGATATTGCTTAAAATTATCAGTAATCATTCAAATACATTCATTCTTAAGTGTTTCTTTCCTCTTCTAGTTGGTATTGTGAAGTGTGACACCACCAGGGCAGCCATTCCCATGTGAATCGTATGGAAAGAACGGCATGTACATATCATGAAACCTGTCAGAATATAGCAATCTACAGAACTAATGGCTGGCTGGAAGAAGGTAACACACAAAATGATAATGACAACACCAGAACTAATCAATTTCTGTGGTCCAGCACTCTGAGATGGCCAGCCTGCCTTTAGGATCCTTGTTAGCATGTGCTCACTGCTGCGCTGCACCATACCAACAGATCAGTTTGCTTCTATCTCATCTGGGACATGCAAAAATGGCATTTTATTTAGACAATTATGGTGGTCACTTCCCAGAATGACTGTGTCCCACTGACAGCAATCTGGCTGTGGAAGGAGGTGAAAAGCTAGAAGAGTATTTTATTTAGTACAGTTTGGGTGATTTGAAGACACTCAGTTAAACAAGGGACAGACTAACTCACAGCCCTCACTGCAGTGGGTACTTCCTTGTGGAATCCCCAAAATATTTTCAAGTGACCCTAGTTCAGGAGGGAGGAAGGGGTCGATAGGTCAGCATCATGTTCCAATCTGACCTTACAGAAGTTCTTTGGAAAATGTATTAGTCTTGCCCCCGCTACCAATGCCCCGTCCATAGGTTCAGACAATGAGGCCTAAGATAGCAAAGCCTTACGG